GGGCCGACGATGATGGCATCGCTCTCTTTTCCGCGCTTTCTTCGCCTCTCTTTCCCATCTCTCGCTCGTCGAAATTTATTATCCGCCGTTATTCACCTCACCCTCCGTACGAATCGAACCCCCAACAAGGGTCGTCCCCCTTCCAATGATTTGCGAATTCTTTCCCCGCTTTTTTTTACACAGAGACAATTTTCTTTTACAATTTATTCTGAAAATCATGCTAATTGTGCAATGGGACAATATATGATAAAAGTTTATTAGATTAATATTTTTACTACAATAAAAAATATTTACTATGTAATATAGTTAATTTATGTATATATTAATATTTTATTGTGCATGGTAAATATTAATCAGAGAAACTCTTACATAAATTTTTTTCAATACCATATCGCCCCACGATTATCGCATGATTTTTCAGGGTAAGTTCTAAGAGAAAATTCCAGGTAAATTCTAAGAAAAAAGTCTCGGCGTCGTGTTTATTAATTTTATCTTGTGCACATATATTACGAGATATTAGAATATTATATTACATAATTATTATAAATAATTGATATCTCTTGGCGAACGATCGATCAATCGATGTCGCAGCTGGGCGTTTCGCTGTCGAGCAATTTGAATGTTCGATCGCGCAATTCCTTCGCGGAATCATCTCCCTCGCCGATTTTATATTGACGGATCGCAATTTTAACCGTGCCGTATCTCTTTGCGACATGTACATGTATGTATATATATATACACGCCCGTTTTGCGGGGGAAGAGAGCGGCGATTGCGATGGTATCGCATTCCAAACGAGAGACTCCAGATACTTTAGCCGGCGCTGTCGCGTGTCTCGGGACACGACGCGCGTTATTTTTCTCTCATCCGTGTTTACACACGCTCCCGTGCAAACACCTTGCCGTATCGCTCTGCGAGGCGATTGGTATGCGACTGGGAAGGTCGACACTCGAGAGATCTGCGTACGCTGCAAAACGATAAATATCTGCGACTGACTCCGCGTTAGCCATTAGATTCGCAAAGCGCGCGAGACGCGGACTCATTTTATTATTTTATTATTACATTTCGCAGAGCACTCTGTGTTAGAAACTCGCGTGGCGCTGTCAGGATTTTATTTTCGAATATTGGAAAAAAATATTAATATATATTTACACACATAAATACGTGTCGTTAGACTATCTTTTGAAATAGCATATTACATCTCCTTACGTCTTCGTGTACGGTCGGAGGAAATTAGTCTGGCGGTGCAAAGAACGGCGGATAATTCTCTCGGCGCGGTCGCCGGCACCGATTCATTGAGAAGTTTTTCTTAACCGGACTGAAATCCTTGGAAACGAGAGCGGTTATGAAAATAAAAGGCCGCGTGCGGACGTACGTCTCTAACTAAGAGACCAGCCAGACGAAATAATACGTCTCTCTCTCTCTCTCTCTCGGCGCGCTGAGAAACGAGGACACTTAAGAGCCGCGGCAAGCTGCAGTCAATTTCGTAATTGCTTCTTTATCGCGATCTTCAGAGAACCGACAGAATTGCTTTATTACAGGGCTTTCAGTCTGCTTCCAATTTTCCGAGCACATGCGTCGCGCGCTCGCACGCGCGTTATTCGCTCTGCCTCTTTTGCCGCGGTGGCGTGGCCCACATTTTGTGACTGCGTTTATTGTATCGCGGCCGTAAGATCGCAGGATCTCGCGATCTCTCGCGCGCGTTCATTTCCTCTCTCCCGCTCCTGCACAGACAGAATTTTATCTCAGAATTTACTCTGAAAATCATGCTAATCGTGGGACAATATATGGTGAGAGTTCCTCTGATTAATATTTTTATCGCAATAACAAATATTCATATATCTACTACAATAAGATATAAAATTTACTATGTACATATTAATATTTTTTATTGTGGTAAATATTAATCAGAGAAACTCTTATCACATATTGTCCCACGGTTGTCATGATTTTCGGAGTAAATTCTAAGAGAAAATTCTTATTGGAGTAATGAGATCTTTTGTTTTCATATAAACAATTTCCAAAGATTTTCCTAAATTATGAATTATTCATTTGATTTACTTATACGGTTTTTGATAATTATTGTGAGACGTTATTACTATTTATCTCGCGTGATTTGATCTTCCGTTCGCGGTAAACGTTCCATTGTCGGCGGACGAAATAAAACGCGCAGCGGTCACATCAGGAACTGCAGACGATTGCAGATAAACATGAAAATTTGACGAGGACGACGACGACGACGATGAGGACAACGACGACGACGACGGGCGACGCGACAGGCGTCCTTGCTCCAACCACTCGCGCTACTACCGATGACGTAATCGTCGCGATACCCCGCAATCTTGGCGCCGCGGTAAACTCGTAATATCTATTTTTATCTGTGGTGGAAGCAAGGGGTCCCTCCCTCGAGGTCCCCCGGCTTGCCTCCCTCTCTCTCTTTCGCTAGCTCTGTCTTGTGTGTGACGGCGCTTTTACGCCACACACGCATCAGAATATACGTATCGAGTCGCAAAGAGCGAGAGAGAGCCAAGTTGAGCCAAGCCCCGATGTCCGAGGAGACTTCGAAATCGAACGACGTTTATTGCGGTCGAGATAAGAACGTGCTTTTGATCGTACTTTTCGTGTTTTCGTTGCGCGACCAAGTTTCTGATCTGGCGTTCCGAGCGAGTTCTTGCAATTAATGTTTGATTAGCTCGGCGAGACCGGTCATTAATCGGCTTACCAATCATCGGCAAGAGCGAGTATTAGCGAGAACGTGGAAGCTGTCTTCGACAGCTGTGCACTAGGTGACGCGAAATTTGCGTCGACGACTCGGAATTTGGTTTCGAGATATTAAAGTGTTGCAACGGAAAAAAAATGTGAAAGAAAGAGAGCAAAAAATATACGGATTAATTTATGTCACAAAGTTAAATCGAGATGCTAATTTTTCATATTTAAATAATGAACTTATATATCATATAATATTTCTGAATAAAATTATCTGCTGTCTTCTTCCTATATATTAAAAAAAAAGATTCTCTATATCTTATTCCTTCTATCTATTTTTTATAAAATTATCTATTAAATTATTAACACATACAAATTTAAATAATCCATGATTGTGATAGGATAGCTATTAATAATCATTTGACGTTACGCGTAAATTATCACATTAATATATGAATTTGCGTAATCGTTTCATCTTATCATTCTAGGCTTAGAATAAACTTGGATTTATGCATTTCACATTATAATGTAAAATACACTATAAATTACATATATACTAATATCAATTATTGTAATACAATTATTGCAATTATATATTTATCCATTTTTTGCGTCTCCATTCTAGATTTCTCTCTCTCTCTCTTACTTTTAAAATAGAAGTCAATATATATTTCACGATATGCAATGATGCATATGTAGAATGAATATAACATTAAGTATAACATTGAGTAAACTATGGTCAACATATTTTCCGAGAGAAAAGGATATATCTGAAAATTTTAGGGCTCATGTCTTTCCGAATCAGTTTGCGACCAAAATTGAGATCAACGAGCAAAAAAATCCTTGGTCTCTTAAATAGGTTCTGCATAAGAAATAATTCCTTTTCGTACAAATTCTCATGTTAATACTACGATATTAAACATTGAAACGCTACACCGAAAAAATTGTATTTTAAGCGCCAAAGAGGATCCTCTTAATTTAAGAAATTCCTCTAAATTTTAGTATATTTTTTTCTAAAAATAAGAATAAATTAAAAATATCATCTTAAATTAAGAGGATCCTCTTGGCGCTTAGAATACAATTTTTCGGTGTAAATAAAAATAAAAGGCAATATTGTTAAAATAAAGAATAAAATTAAATTTTTGGAAAAATGAACGAATTTAAAGGACAGCTATCTAAAATAAGGAACTGTTCTTTCTAAAGTAAAGGACGGATGGTCACCGTAAATATAACATTAAATGAATAATAAAAAAAACGGTACGGTAACGATGTGATTTTCGATATGAATTGTAATTGTATATCATTGTTCTGGAACTTACGTAAAATGAACTGCAATCCGTACACTCGATTGCTATGCGCCTTCCGCCGTTCTCACGAATCCTTTTGTATTCGCTCGACCGCACTCGTCCAGCCTCCGGGATCTGCTGGCGCCGTCTCTGCGCGACTACGCCACCGAAGAGACGCCGTAACAGCGAAAGCGTGGGACTTTGTCTTGTCGGCAACCAGTCCTTTGTACCGCCCGCAGTTTCTCTCCTCGTGTAAACCTCTTTACCGAAAAGAAAGACGTCCTATCGTTAACAAAAGATCTTGCTTTGGGAAATTCTTTACCGGGTCGATAATCCTTTTATTCAGGGATGAAGACAAATTTTCGGATAATCGACCATTTTTATTGTATGACGCACGGAAGTACTTTATTATTGCTAAACGACCGGATATATAAGATTACAAAATAAAAATGGATGCACTTTTTAAAAAATGCGACTTGATAAAATATTTGAAGGCTTTCTTTTTTCATTTGTTCAAACGAATGAGAACAATAAAATATCACGTTATCCTCCTTCCCTTGTGTTTTCTTTTGCATTTTAATTCAATATATTTTGGAGATAAAAAATCGACATATTTAATTTTGATATTGTGCGCTAATTATTATTAATGGCGCGAAATTTTTGTATACATTTTTATGAAGAGCGAGACAGAAACTTATCCTGAAAATTATGGTGGAATAGTATGATATTGGAAGAATTTAATGAGAATTTCTCTGATTAATATTTACCAGAATAAAAATATTAATATGTCCAGTAAAATTAATCGAACATATTTTATAAGTTGTGATGAATATTAATATTTTTTATCGTGCTATAATTTTAATCAGAGAGACTCTTAATTTCTCTAAAACTCTAAATTCTAAGAGAAAATTATCTCTGTGTAGGATCACAATAAAATGTCATTCATAAATCGATAAGAAAGAGAGTGATGCAAATGTTTACCTTACTCCTTTCTTGTTCTTTGTCTACAGGTGAGACAGGGCAGAGGGAATGGTGCACCCTGGCGTACTGGGAATTAGGGGGTCGAGTAGGTCGTCTGTATCCCGTGGAGCCGTTGACGGTGAACGTTTTCGATTCGCTCCACGACGGCGACGGCCTCTGTCTGGCGACTTTGACCGAGAATCACAATGCACCGCCCGCGGTCCAGCGTACGCGCAGCAAAATCGGTCTAGGTAAGATCTTCTTACAGTTTTTCAACCCCCAATAGGAAAATTTCCTCTATTTGAAGAAGGCTGCTCTTTGCACTTTCTACTTTGCCTCAAAAACAGCTTCCGCTTCTCTTATGGCAGGCCATTATACCTAGTCATTAAGAACATTATTAAGATTATTTAGGAAAACAATAGACAATTGCATTTAATCTTTTCAGTTTTCAATTATATCATGCACATATGAATAAAAAATGCATAAATTTATTAAATTATATAATATTTAATATATAATATTTATATGTTTAATACGTAAAAAACGAAATTTATTAATAATGCGATTTTATAATAAGAAGAAAAATATTTTTATCTTATATTTTTTCTATTGTAAAAACAAATTGTGTAATAAAGAATGAAAAACGATATAACTTTGTCTAATTAAAATGATTTGGACATAAACAGATAATATCTTTGTAGGACTAACGCTTAGTCAGGAAGCGGACGGTGTATGGGCGTACAATCGGTCGGAGAGTCCGATCTTCGTGCACTCACCCACCTTGGACGAACCGGAATCGCGGACCCTGCTGGTCTACCGGGTGCCATCGGGCTTTTGTCTCAACATCTTCGATCGCGCCAAGATCCTGCAGCTTCCATACAACGGCGGTGGCAGCGGCGGTGTTGGCGGCGGATGTCAGACCGCCGGATTTGCTGCTTCCGGCCCCGTCGACATTAACTCCGTCCGCATCAGCTTTGTCAAGGGCTGGGGACCCAACTACTCGCGACAGGAGGTCACCTCCTGCCCGTGCTGGCTCGAAGTGCTCTTGGCACCGTGCAGGTGATCGTTTCCCAAGCTGGCCGGGCCGAAAGGGTATCGTCAAGTCTCGTCCTTAACTCGCGCCTTTTCTTCCTCCTCGTTGTCGTCATCGTTGTTGTTGTTGTTCTCGGGGAGGATAATGATGCGACGACCGTGGCCTTTAGCTCCGTCCTAACGAGAGCTGTGTTAATAATGACTAATAAATAAAACAAAAAAACGTGCCGGGGGCGACCGCCAGCGGCTTGTCGCCCCGAACAAAACCCCAGCAGTCTTACCAAAGTACACACCGTAAAAAAAATAATACGTTTAGGAATAACGTCGCGTTTCCGTTTCGACAATAGAACGAGAGATAGAAACGAAGATCGGAGATCGTTCGCCGAGCGTGTTCATCGAGCGCGTATATACGAACGGAGGAACTCACATTGACGAGTGTGGTACTTAGGATGTTTCTTGCGTTTTGATTCGTCTAGGTTTTTTTTATTCTCTCGATTTATTTTCTAGACTCGTCGATATTATTCTTGAGATTCATGTGAGAATTTCCGACAAGGAGGAAGCGAAGAGAGTCGGGCTTCCGGTAGGTCTAGTCACTTGCGTTTATGGTCTGCATGCGCCGACTCGCGAATTTGCGCGCGTGGATTCTGAATTCAACATGGCAGGGAAAATTATTAGTCTTATAAAAATGAAAACACATGAGGTAAAGAGAGTAATATCGACGAAACAAAGAGGTATGTAAATAAAACATATTTTACGATTTGCTCTGTTTTTTTTTCCAAAAGTAATTATCGGAACAAAGATTTTTTTCGGATAATTGCTTTTGTTTTATCATCTCGATAAAGTTCATTGCATAACGTTATATAATATAAGGTAATCGATGCGATATAAAATAATTAAATATTTAGTTGCTTGTAAATAATTTTTGATAAATTACTGCGAAAAAATGATTGTCTTTTTGTTGTAAATTCGAGCTTCGCAAACTCGTTACATCTTCTAGAACTTATGTTATTGAAAGCAAAAATAAATTAATATATTGGTAATTTATTTACATATTTATGAGATTAGTAAAATTGTACAAAAAATTATGCGTTTAACATGCATTTAAATTAGATTATGAATATTAAATCTTTTTTACAATTTTTATACAAATTGTAAGAAGTAGGATATCATTATTTTATAAAAGTATTATAAAGACAATAGAATTTTAAATAATACAATTTTATTTGATAAATATATATGTAAATATATATTTATATTTAAATAAGATCAATAATTAAAATTAGGCTTAAATGTAACTATTAAATTGATTGATGCAACATCGAAAAATTCCTGGGGAAACTATGTGCAGCGAAGAGATCGAGATTGAAATTGTTGTTTCGCAAAATTTCTTGACGAACCGTAAGAATTTTTATCAGTAAAATAAAATTTTTCAACTGCATTTGTACTTTGCTCTAATTCTTTTTTAAAGAATATAAAGAAGGACTGATGTAATTATTATCGTCTTGTATTTTTCGATTAATATTGTATCAATTATATTTATTTAGCTTCCATTTAAGCCAATTAATAAATGTGTAATTATTGACGTTGGTTTGACTACTTTAAATAAGGTTATTTTTAATCTTTCAAATTGTGCTCCAGTAACATAAGTTCTACGACATAAGTCATGAGAGGATAGTACTGGAATCGAATAGTCGCGCGATTGATTAGCGTTACAAGCAAACGTGCCACGAATCCTGAATGTGTTATCTCCGGTCGTCGTTCGGTGCTGTACATACGTATAGTATATGTACATACATTGTGCCTTCCCAGCTTCCCTCCGTGGTGCAGCGCGTACTCTCGGGAAATAAAAGTGCGCCACGTGCCAAGCTCGTTTCGCACGGAAAAAAAAAATATATATATATATATATATATATATACACATATATATATTATATATATATATATATATATATATATATAAAATGCCTCCTCCTTCTCCGGAGCTTTATACTACAGTAATACAATGTACTGTGATAACAGTTCGACGCAAGTCTTTTTTTCTTCCCTTTTTTTTACGATTGACGCGTTGCGAAGACGAGAGAGAAATAACGCAGAACGAGATAATGTTCACGTATAATGATTAATTAGAAGAGATTCTGCACGTCGGAAATGAGAGAGAAGAGAGTGAGAGAAACGGTATTGTTAATTTTGCGACGCTTATTTTCTCAGCTTATCGCGTTTGGTCATCGAAATTTCTGTTTTCTTTTTCTTTAAAACGTCGCAATTCTGATTTTTGACGTACAGAAACTTTTCTCCGAGAAATTGTACACGAGACGCATATATATACGATATGTGAATCTTTTTTTATATATACTCTGTAGATACGAATCGATTTTTGAAGGAAGGAAAGAGTCGTATATAGTGTTCAGAACAATATGTTTAAATGCATACGATGTAATATGTACCAGTCATACGTATTCATTCAACACTCACACTTACACAAAACATATATCGACTGATCGATCCGTAGAATTTTTTTCGACCATTAGTTTACTTTCGTACTACCGCTTTTATCGATGTAAAAGTGGTCGTTACTTTGTAATGACGATTGAACGGATTGAGAGCTACGAGAACGTTACATTGTGATGGGTATACGCCACTTGAATGTTATATATTAATATGTATACAGAGACGTATACACAAAAATGTTCATAGGTAGCTAAATGTATGAGAGGGAGAGAGAGAGTGAGTGAGTGAGTGAGTGAGTGAGTGAGAGTCGGATTAGATCATCGGCGAAAATAATTGTAACGATGATAAGAGGAATTCCGCCGACAGATTATTATTCACTCTGAGCGACTTCGCGACTTTGCTTTTCGTAGTCCCTTTTTCACTGCCCCCCAACACGTTGTTGTGGTCGAGATCTATCTAACCGCCCCTTTTGCCGCAATTAAGACCGAGCGCATTGCTGCAGCACTGCTTTGGAACGCGTTTAAAACGGTACTACATGCATACGCGCGATGTAAGATGATGTATTTAATGATTTACGAGACGTGCGTATCTTCTCCGAGGAATTTCAGTTATCTCGGTGTCATCGTCTCGAGTTCGAGGTACTGATATTTGTCAACGATCCTCGTCTTTTTATATACACATTTTTCTCATCGCACTTGACTTAGCTGATAAACATCCGCAACAACTGTAGAACATTCTAATTTTCATAAAAATTGCAATAATTTGAGAAAAAGCTAATGACACAATAGAATAAAAAATATAATAATTTCAAAAACATGTGCAATTAAGAGAATGATAATACGAGAATTATTTGATGCTAAATTATAATTTACATTGAGATTCGCAGATCGGTTATTGTACATACTAAACGCACCACAGATGCATAATAATAATTTGTGAGAATATTCGTATCTCTTGCTCGCTATATCGCGCTTAAGCATCCAAAAGAGAGCGTACGGATTGCCCCGTTGCGCATTAGGAACAAAAAGGAACTTACGAAGGCGTACTAAAATTAATGGTAAGACTGTCTTACGACGTAAATGCCACTACGGGAACGACCGAGCGCTTCTTCCCTGCGATGCGCCTGTCGCAATAAACGCGAGGAAAGCGATTTCTCCTTCGTTTGAGGAATTTAAAGGAAGAAAAGATTCGCTCGCGTGCAAAAACGCGAAAAAAATCCGAATGCGATACAATTTCCGAAAACAATTTTTAAAAGAAAACGCTCAGACTGCAAAAAGTTTAAACTCGCAATAATAAATTTGTTTAATATAAAATTATTCGAGAAGAGGAAAGATGAAAAAGAGAATAAATACTCTGTTCGATTCGTAGATCTTTTTCCCACAGTTGTTTTTATATTTTTCGCGAATCTAAACTGCGTAGATTTATATTTTCATTTGTTAAATTCATTAATTTTTTATGTAATAGATTATTATAATTACAGGTTCTATATCGCTGTCAATCTGTCTGATATTCTTTATACTGTTCTGTTTTTCAACTTTTCTTGAAATATTTGTAGTTGATACAAAAATATTATTTATGGATTGTATTTGTATATACATTTAAAAATGCAGAAAAATTGTAGTAAAAGATTTTCATGTGGATTTTTTGTAGCGTCACAAAATTGTGAAAAAAACACGAGAGTCTTACATTGAGATCTAAGTTAAAAAAAGGGAGCTCAGAGATGTGTGTGAATAATGTAATATATTATATCTCTTCGATGGAGATTTTCTCAGATAAGAAAAGCTAAATACATCTGTTGTATACATTCGTAAATTGCGTAAAACATTTTTGCATTTCGATTGAAAACATAGATTCATGTAATGCATGAATTGTCTTCTTTCACTTTACCTCTATTCGTTCTGCGTTATTTTTCCTTTCATCTTCCTTTCGCACTTTTCCATCTCTTTTTTTTAATTTTACTATTTACACTTTCCATCTTTTATTCAAGTCTTGATGTTCTGTTTCATTTTTTCAATTTTCGAGCCTATTGACACCAAATCTTTTTGTTTAAAAATAATATTCGAGAGTATCTCTCTCTTCTTTCATTTTTAAATTATTCTCATTTTTAATTCACAGGACATTTGTCTAATATAAATATAATTTCCGGATTTTGTGATATAATATTGCTTTTGTGTTATTTCATAATAAGGGAAATTATTACGTCAGCAAATGGTATGTCCGTTCGAAGCGCGTCAAAAGCAAGACTGAGGTTTCCAGGTTTTAAGAATAAGATAATTTATCTTTACGCCTATCCGTTGCGAGATTTATCTCAAACAAAATGATTGGCTGTCGCCAATCAGAAAAGAGCCGGCCACTTGTTTGCTGACGAGTTACCGTTTCTCTCGGGCGACGCGACGTGCCATTATCCAGTAGTAGTAATAACGAGAGTAATAACACTAATGTTAACGACCGAACGACAATTAGAGCCGTTTTCTAGCGTTTACTAACTCTTAACTGCTATCGGCCGACCGACCACTCTACGTGTCTCTGTGGGGCTAGGTTTAAATAATCTTTAAACCGTAGACACACATACACATGCAATACGAAAGTTCCTCGTTAGCGAGATTAGATGCCTTCGAGTCAATTAACAATTAATCACCGCGCTCCGAGTTTGACTGAAACTTTTTTGCTTAGAAAGGAAAAAAATTCGCGACAAAATAGTAAATTTGCCAATTTCGAATACAAGAACGAACGAGGAAAAATTGAGCAAATAAATGAACGAAATGAAGGCAGCTAATTTCTCTATAAGGACTCTACGTCTGTGAAACATAGTGCCTTTACATAGCCGTTCACTGTTACATTAAATTAGTGTTTATAGAAGCGACATACAACTTAGCGATTATCACGCGTATCATAAAAATTAACTGTTGTTGATAGGTAAGCGCTTTATCGGCATCGGTATGATATTACCCCGTTAACAAGAAAGCCCTCTCGTACGTATGTTTCCTCCTTTGAAGAATTTGTCGATTCTCTCTTTTATTTTTTCTTTTTTTTTTATTTAGAATTAATGATATCTACCGGATGAAGATTTTGATAAAAACAAGAAAGAGAGAAAAAAACTTTGATATATATTTAGACAAATTTCCGCGATTCCTGCCATGTCCTACGTTCTAGAGATACGCTTTACACATCCGTTAGGATGTAATAAAGAAATAGTGCCTTACCACGAGATATTGTGCTTTTCAAAAGTTCAAATAGTCGGAACGTAAAGAGAGCGTTCTAAAACGGGCAATTTTTAGATATTCTCCTTTCAGTATCTTAAATTGTAATCTCGCAAAATTGATAAAACACGTCGTTCTTCGCCATCGAAGAGAACTCACTTATATTGACGTATTAAAAATCGATCGTTTCATCGGAAATCAACTTGTTGACGAATTTGGAAAAAAAGGACATTTTTTAGTCCGATTGAAAGAATTATCGATATTTTGAAAGTGTATATAATATTGTATATACCTAAAAGAATTTTTTATATTTTAATGACATAAGTTTAGTGTATAATTTTACATTTGACAGTTTCAAAATTCGTCGATGTGAAAACAATGATTATTCATATGATTTCCGACTCGAAATCGAATTGCGTCGAGCGAAGACTTTGAGATACACCGTTTATTTAATATATATTTATGGATAAAAGAGCCTTCGATAGCGGCTACTCCAATTCCTCATTTTCGAATCACGCGCAATAAGATATACGCTAAACAAAATATATATATTAGATATGCATATTATATATTCATATATAATTTATGCACGGAAAGAGAGTGCATACGAGAAAAATCGAAATGAAATAAAGCAACGCGCTGCTGTATATATTGTACATAAAGTATGTACGCATATGCATACGTTATACATACTATGTATATATATTATATATTATGTTGTCGGCAACGACGATAATGAATAACGAATGATAGTAATAATAATTATATAATAATACAGAAAGCAGATATATCGAATAAGTGCGAATAGCATAACGAAATAACGATATTATTAGGTACCACACATCCCGAGAACTCACGATATATATTATTTTCAATATCATTGTATTTGATTCCGAAAATCAAGTAACACACGTTTACTAAGCGATCGTGTGTCGACGATCAAGGAAATCCTCTCCACTCATTTTTACGAGAAAAAGAAAACAAATATATGAAATTGCAAATTTGTATCTGACGCGTTATTAATAACCAAATACCTTAAATTGCCTCAATACCATGAATCCTCCTGCGAATCTCTATAGATATATTTGCATATGATTTTATATATATATATATATATATATACACACATATATATATATATATATATATATATACACTCACATTTAAATTAATATAATTTAGATTATTCTATCTTTTTTTTACGAACAATTTGCAAAACTTTTCCAAAGAGATAATTTTATAATATAAATATATTAATTATAACATATATATATATATATATATATATATAAGTATAGATAGTGATAATAATAGGTACCTAATTTTTACATGGTATACGTAATATTTGTCACTGGAAGATGATCGCGTTTAATACACTTTATAACAGGTAGACTATAAACATCGAGTGATTAAATTTTAAATCTCTCGTGGAGCTTGTTACAAGAAACGACGCTTAATTCGCTTAGGTGCTATCAGATAAGTATTTTCCGTTCACTAAAATGATTAATGCCTAACTTGCAAAATGCATCAGTTTACTCTTTTTCCTTTTCTTTTTTCTGAACAATATGTAATACAACAATAACATTTTTTGGGTCATTGTACTGTTTTTTTTTCACGGAATTGCACGCCGATAAATTAAAATACCTTCTCTTTTTTCTCTTTCTCATTTTATCTTTCTCTCTCTTATTTTATTTTTAACATCTAACACTAATACATTTTATTTCTAAATTCTAACTCTTTGTAACAAAAAGACTGCTCACTCTTTACATCTCTCGTCATTAATTGAAACACGACCAAGATTATGCAATGTATTACATTCCACACGGATATACGAGACAACATAATTTAATAAATATTTATATGTTATATGGAATGTGGTTATTTACAAAGAAATGCAGTTTGATCGATAATCGCTCATTAAATATGAAATAATCGTTCAATCAGAACATTCCAAAACTTAAAAAAAGATAAAAAGTTACAAAAAATTTAAATATAAACTTGGATGAGGCCGAGAAATTGTCGGTCGATACTGATAATAATTATTTATAAATTAATATATATTAGATACTTACTATCATGTATTTCAAATTCTACGTAAATGTCACAGCACGTAAAAAAATAATATTAAATGTTTTAACACTTTAGATTTTTTTAAGTTCTTTTCTTTCTTTAATATTGATTTTCATTTCTTTTCTTTGCTTGGAATCAGAAAAGATAGTATTCCCCCAACTGAAAAGAATCAGTTGTTTATTAAATAATATTATCTTTTTCATCTTTTATTTTAACATCACTCAATTTTTATAATTATCTATAATCCATTTGATCCATTAAAATCAAGTTTTGAGAAAATTATTCGATAAAATTAAATATATATAACAAAAGATAACTACGAGCTTCTATAAAAATATTAATTGGACATTGTGAATATCTTTTTCAATTCTTCTTAAATGAATCTGACATACTTTATTGTACTCACATATGCTGACACCGCCTAGAAGGAATATCGGGATCTCGCAGCTAAGATCCAGTAGCATGCCGAACGCCAGATTACTCGCTATCGCACCACATCTGCCCAAGCAGGCCATCATGCATACTGCGACGGCGGATACATGCGTGGGGAAGATGTCGACTGCCACGCTGGAAAGCACGAAATTTCCCGTGGATATCATCATGGAAAAGATGCATCCTGTTACGAGGATCTGTAGCGAGGACTTGACGAAATATAAACCGAAGCCGGCGATACCAGCTACAAACATTGTAACCACTGTAAAAAAGAAAAAGCAGTCTTATTGAAAAGATAAACTCCGAAATAATTTTGTAGTAATAATAATATCCAAAGTATGTTTAGAACTTACCCGGCATTGTTCGACGACCAACTCGATTTGCCAAATATCCGGAAATGATATTGCCGAATAAACAAACGGTGTTGATGATCAGAGAATTAATAAATACCTGTTCGTCCATGTGCGGTTTACATTCCGTTGTGTTCTCATCCTTCAAAGGGACAGATGATTCTTCCAGAACAGTGTAATTCAATGACATTTTATTGTTTATTAGCTCACAGACCGTCACCGATTCATTTGGATGCAATTGATGATAACTCTCAAAGCGATTAAACAATTCTGGCGTCCAAAGATTAAAACCATAAAACCTAAGTACGCCGGTAGAAAAGTTAGATGTGAAAAATATTTCTTTTTATATTAGCATATAATTAAATGGATATATTATTACTCTATATAAATAAATTATAATAAAAAGTAATAGTGTAAAGATAATAGATAAATTTTTTTTCACTAATAAAATCACATAATTATAACTATTTTCTAAACATTTTTTTTAATACGATATTTATGTGTGATGTTTTTTTTTAAGTTTTGAGAAGACTCACCCGAACATGTTCGCGAAATAAATCGTCCACAAGAGAATACCATATTTTATGTAGGGTGGTGAGGCAATGGTACGCAATTGCAACCAAATATTTTTCGTCAATTCCATTAATATTTCCGACGAGGAAACTGATTTCTTGTCCTTTTGTAGTTCGAGCACGGCATCAGAAAGGAGTTCCTTCACCTAAGTAAAGATATATCGCGTCGATTGACACAAAACATCGTATATATAATCTGAAAATGTTATTCTACATAATTTCGATACTTACCGGAAATTCGCTTTTATCTCGTCCAGTATTTACCGCATAAATCTTTTGCATAATCGCGAGAGCCTCGTCGGTCTTACCTTGCGACACCAGAAACTTCGGGCTTTCGGGATACATAAGAGTTATCATAGCTATAATGAAAATTGGCAGGCTAATAGCGCCAAGGAACATTCTCCAAGAATTGTACCGGATGCCGTAGAACTCAAAGGATATCGGCAATGGTATGATAATCCATGCCAAGCCTGAATAAATTAATAATTTTAATTGTTAATAAATTAATATTTTACTCATCTGTCATATTTAATAATTTATATGAATATTATTTTAAAAAAATAATGCATGCAGTTAAGAATTCTTTATCTATTGATAATTAAAAAATAATTACCAGGTAATATTAACCAAGCGAGAGTGAAGAAAAAGCCTATGAAACAAATGCTCTTTGCTCTGTACTTCTCTGCATAAAATTCACCGAGATATATGTATAACAAGGAACCGGGTCCACCCATCCTAAAAGTGGCGAAAAAATCATAAACATGCACAATCTTATATTTGCTGTTTCATTGCAAGTAATTGTTACTCACAAGAATCCGCTTATGACTCTGAACATTAGGAATAGCTTGAAGTTTTGCGAAAAGCTCCCGATTAGCGTCAAGATACTGTCGGAGAAAAAAGAGAATAGCAGGATATTTCTTCTTCCGTAGGCACCCGCAAAGACTCCCCAGAAAAGGGCGCTAACTACTGAACCTGAAATGATAAAAAATAAGTATTAATAATCTAAATGTAAGCTTCAGAAGTTTTTATGATTTAAAAGCGTTTAAATTTTGAAAAAAAGAAGTGCAAGTTTAGTAATTCTAAGATTTTACCCATGAGAAAGGCAACGTTCAAGTACCCTTTTTCCTCAGATCCCATATGCAGATCGCATTCAGCTGATGGCAAAATATACGCGTTTGCACCATATTGAAAGCCGACGCAGAGGAACATCACACCGCAAACCAGCAGAAAAGTGTACTGATATCTTCCATTTCCTATCAACAAGAAATCCAATTTAAAGAAGCTAAACGTCATGAAAAGTACATGATTATAAATAGATATAGTGCAATGAGAATTTACCACATATCTCCATCGCTTTCTCAAAATCTGCGATTTCTTCTGTGGATGCATTGCGATTTTCTTTTTCTAAAAACCAAAAATTTTTTTTAATTTATTTGGAGAGAAAAATAGAAGCATGAATAATTATATATATATATTGTATAATACTCTTAACTCATAAATTATATATATAAATCTGAACATAAAATTAATTTTTTTTTAAATTTAAGATATCAAATTTGCGTCATTACATGAACATGTATATCATATCATTTATATCACATTGTCGATATGCGCAAAAATTGTGTAAAATTCGAGTGGAGATATAAAATTTTATAAACAAGCATATGCATATATTCAAAATTTTGCGAAGATACATCACGTATATACATAAATTGATTACGCACGCCAAAAATTTTCTATATTTGCTTGCCTGCATTTTATGAAATTGAAAAAATCTGCCTGTCATTTAATATTTGTAAAGACGTATATGATTTTGGAAGAAGCATCGAGAATATTAAGAGATCTATTTTTTTCGCTTTGGAAAATTGGAATTAATAAATAAATGTCGACAGTCACCGAATTACACAGGTGCGTAAATTTATCATTGCGTTAATTGAGCGCAATATCGATATAATAATCAATTTATGATACATATCATTGTTTGCTCCTAAACCACACAATAGATCTTACTTATTACATGAATCCTTATCCTTGTTATACTAATCTCAACGAAATCAAGAACGGAATAATGATTATAGATATTCAATAATTATAGATCAACATTAGAGCTATTTTTTAGAATAAATATAATTAAATTAAAAAAAATAACAACATTCAACATGCTTGATTTCGAATTAAATTATTATGAGATGTGACTTATTTCGTCATTCATATTTGTTGAAGTAAAACTTATATCTGAAGTAAAATTTATATATTTATGTTTCTCTTCATTCATGATCGCTTTTATGCGAGGCAACATTATTCCAATTGAAATAAACGTAAACCATATGTTGACGTAAAACCATCTTTGTGCGCGCGCTTTTTGTGTCCCAATGTCGCAATTCGATAATTATCTTGCATTTTGTAGATGAATGCTAGCCCATACCATGAACATGTCATCGTTTGTTGTATAAGAAACTTAATTGTTGTTGCAATTCGCAAAATGTAATGTACAATTTGTCACAGTATATCAAACTATTTCAAATTCAAATTATTTTAGTTATTGTAATGTTTTTCTTGCAAAAACTTATATATATGTATGAATATGCAACGTAATTTGATGCAAATTGCACTAAGTACTATCGAACAATGAGACAAAAATGAAGGTGACTTGAACGATGAAGTGCACGTGCGCTCGACAAAAAAACTCACTAGCATGACTTTGATCGATTATACATAAGGTGGCAAATTAAGGGATAATTATAGGCGTAATTGCGCTTTACTATTTGGAATGAATCGATGACGCAATTGTTACATTACATACAACTTGACCAATATATTTTGACTATATTTGGTAATACTTGATATTTTATTCGAGCAAAATTCGTAATTCGTGCAAAATAAATATAAAAAAAACAAGAATGTTTTATAATGAGTTCGTGAAATTCATTATAAATCAAATAATAAGGTTGTGAATTGTTTAAGTTAAAGAAAAGAAATATTAGCTTAACATTACAGAGTTATTATTGATTGCAACATAAATCGATTACAAAAATCAGGATTTTTATGAGAAAAGACATTATACATCATTAATAATAATGATGATGATAATGAAAACAGTTTTATATAACATTTTTTTAATGTCTACCTTTCGGTTTATATAGAAAAGTAAAGTAGTAAAAACTAAAAAAAAATAGACAACGAGATAATAAAAAATGGTATTATCTATAGGTAATATTAAAGTTTTAAATCAGTAATACTCAAACATGTACGTCTTACATAAATTTATGCCAAAAAGAAAATAAATGGAAGATATATAGATTCGATCTCCTAGCACAGAAATTTAATTTCACAAAGATTATTGCTAAAATAGCAATAATTTAATTTTTTAAATTTAATTAAATTAATTAATCAAAATTTAAAAAAGTATAACTCGATTTTAAAAATAATTTAAAATATACATATGCTTATAAACGTATATTAATACACAGATGTCGCAACGGGTGACTTTTGACTATATCGTTTCTTTAAATTTTAATCGACAGAAATCCCATATAAAATATTCGAAATTACAGACTGACCTATTGAGAGAGAAATGGTGGAGATGCGGCTGACCATGATGCAGCACCGGGAAAAATTTCCAAGAGCAGTGTCCGGTACTACGACACAGGCGCAATCTCTTCGGTCGCACGACGAAGAAGCCTAATCTGCGACTGCCGATTGCGGGTGGTGCGGAGATGTCGTGACCTCCCTTGAACGTTACTCGTCGATGACGATGGATTGACACTTCGACTCGGAGTTGTCGTCGCGACGCTTTAAATATTTATGTCATGCGCGACCGCGAACGCGAACGCTGAATCCGAAAATCCTTCCCCACTTTTTCATGCCGATCGCACAATCATTAATCGGAGGGGGATCAAGAGCTCATTATTCCACGCGAATATACCTGTAACCTACGTATAATATAATTATTAGCCAGAATCATAAATATATTCGTAATAAAGTGCGATTGAATCTTTTTATTACTCGTGATTTGAATATGAAAAATTTTTTAATTTAATATATTTTTGTTATTTATTTAGTATCAAGTTATGTGATGCTATTACTTAAATTGTAATATAAAATAAATGCAAAGATTTTTACGGATAATTTTTTATTTTAAAATCAATTTATTAATATTATTAAAAATTAAGATATTTCGAAAAACTAATTTCTCTGAAAATTATTTTTCTGTCAATTGCTTTATAATTATTTGTAATATATTAAATATATCTATATTCAAGTATGCAATTAGATATATTAATATTAATATAACTGTAATTAAATGTTTTTCGAATATTAATTGAATTAAATAGAATAATTAAATTTAAAAAAAATCAAATTTTAAAAATCAAATTACACAAAACTATTTATAAATTTAGAAAAAAATTTCTTATAACATCACATTAAATTATTATTCTTATATTGGAAATGAAAAATAACTTTTTGGTTTGCGCAAATAAAAAAAAAATAAAAAATTGCAAACCTGTGATTTCCTAATTTGTTGACGTTCAACTTCGAATCAATGTATATTAATATTTCTTCGAGTTTCGCTGCATTTTTGCTTACACATCATTAACTCTCAATAATCTCGAGCTAAATAAGATCTCCAAAAAGAAAATCTGCATCTCTCTGTTCCTATGAAGATTCTCATCTATCAGAAACCACGAGTATTGAAAAGACAACTAAAATGATGAAACTGAAGAGATGACGCAAAATAGAGAAAACAATCTCTTTGACCTGATAGATTTGTTTAATTAATAACTCGTTATTACAATTTGTCTTTGTACGGAAAAGCTATCAAACATTCGTCAAGCGGAAAAATCAATCAACGCATGATCGGTCGGATAATATTTGCTTAAATAGCAGACGAATTAAATTGCTCTCCGGCAGCGAATATTTTAATAAATTTTTTACATAAATAATCGCGATTTTACTTATGATGCGACCACCCGATTTCTTTCTCCTTAGTGTTGCTATTTCAAGTATGTTCTTTTTCGCTTTTTAAGTTTCAATAAAGGGATTCATTAGCGCGATTTTCATATTATTATTATTATTATTATTCGCTTTACTACTAAAATGTTTCGATGTGGATTTGGCAAATATAAATTTTGCAAAATTTATTTACATTCCAAAAATCTGGAAATTTTTCATACAAGTTGGAACGAAAGGAATTTTAAACACGAAATATACAAATTATAAACTATATATTTTCTTATTACTCGATATATCAAGAATTTTTAAAAGCAAAATTAAGAAGAAAATCTTTGCAATCGATTGGTTTTATTGATCCGTGCAACTACAAAATTTGGATAAAGGTGCTAAAGTCTTCAATTATGAGCATTACCTACTTGTGTTCAAACGCATTGCAACTTTATATTTATAGCAATGAGAAAGTATGTATGCGAGTATGCGCACGATCGTACATATATGCATATATATACATATATACATATATACATATAAGCGCCGATCAGAACGATGTCGGCAATTATAAGAATGTTTGTCGTGGGTGCGGTTCTTCTTTCATTAAGGAGACCAGAAACCCTTGAAGAGCGAAAAATTGACGTATGTATGTCCATTGACCTGAGAATTAGGACCGAATCGATACTTCAACTTTCCTCTTACTATTCAATTGTAGTTATCTAATATGCATAATATAACTCTAAATATATTTATTTATGTAAATAATTTATATGTACTGTAAAAATATAATTAAAATAATGTACAATTTGTAAATGTACAAAAATAGTATAAAAATAAAATGGCTATGCGAAAAGTATATCCATCTGACAATTATTATAAAAGCATTTATAATTTATTATTATACGCATGCATTTATCAATAAAAATTAAAGTATTAAGATATATAAGACTGAAAAAACGAAAATGTAAAATTAAAACTCGAATTAAAAAAAATGGTATTAATTAGTTGTACTAATTCTAATATGCTTCTCTTTATTAAAAAAGTCTATTCATTAGCAGACACAAAAATGTGCATCTTTATATCATGCGTTTTGCATATAAAAAATTGATTACCTAAATCTATTATCTTATAATTAAAATAAAAAATAAAGTTTTAACTCACCGGTGCGATGTGTAATCGCCAAGCTACACAGCATAATATAGAAGGTTAGTCTGTAAATTACAAATATATTTATTTAATAAAATCTAAAACAAGTGTTTAAACTAGATATTAATAAATATTTCTCGAAAAAAATAAATATATAAAATATCTCCATTAAAATATCTTAATTAAAATGTTTAATATAAAATATCTATATATCTCTGGAGAAACAAATAAAATATAAATATCTATCGAAAAGTAGCTGTTGCGCGCATTAAAATTTCTCTTCATTGAATTTTGTATAAATAATAATAGATAAATAATAAATTATTTACCTTACACGATTGCTCTTCCATCGCCTGATGCCGCTCCGGATCTCCTCTTCTTTTCTCTTTCTTTTTTCCATTAGCGATGTCGCTCTTTTATGCCACTCACTAGCGAAAACAATGTATTACAATTAAACATGCATTTACGAAAACAATTTCTTGCGATTACGCACGCACTAATCATACTTTAATGCAATTAATGAGCGTACGACATGCCGCACTCCGCACTTCTGAATCTTCTGATTTTAATGGTAGCTAGGCAACGCGCACTTGTTATGGCGGGAAAATTTTTTAACACGGGAAAAGCGCGCGAAGCTCGAAACTCGCGGTCTCTTGCGGAATCTCTAGACACTAACTTCACACTCAAATATAGTTTCCAAAATAGATGTAGATGGCAGCTACGTGCACGAAATTAATGACATAATAGAGATCAACGCAAAATTGTAGAGGATTGAAACTGTGATGAAAGTGTATGGTTATGGTGTATGTTTTTAAAAAGTTTGATTAATAATTGAAAGAGATATGGCTACTGTAAAATTCGGAAAACATTTGAAAGAGTTGAGAATCCTCCTCTGCCAAACGTCAAAATCTAGTCAAGGTGTTAGGTAGAGTCACAATAGATGAGATAAAAGTTCATTTGTAATCTGAATCAATTTTCAATTTCATTCATTCTTACTTTGTGTGTACATTGCAGAGACTTCATTGAGCAACAATATGTGCCGTTGAAGAAAAATAATCCAAGATTTCCTGTTTTGATTAGGGAATGCTCGTCGATCGAACCAAAATTGTATGCGCGTTATGGTATGTAAAGAGTAAAGATGAATATCATAATTTAAATTGACAATATCGCAAACCATTTCACAAATTATACTTTACACTTTTTTCTAAATACTCGTTCAAATGTTATTTATCTTTTTGTAAATGGTGTTACAGAATATGGTGTAGAACGTTGTGTGCCACTGTCAAATTTGAAATCTGAAGAAGTACTCGGGAGGGTTCAAGAATTAGCATCTCAAAAATAAATATTTTATAAATATCTATCTTAATATGTGTAGAGTGTGTTGTAAAATAAAATAGTTATATCAGTTTCAAATGTAGATTTTAGTCATTTACAAGTCTTAACAAATTATACCTTGCATGTATATGCAGTTATATACAGATTAGATTTTACGAAATTAGAAAATTCATTTTTTATAGCAGAAAAATATTTATTTTTGTAATTTTGTGTTTATATCAAACAGTTAATCTTTTATAGCATTTGCTATAAAATTTTTGCAAGTTTGACAAATATAAACTAAGAAAAATAACTATATGCTATAATGAACATAAATGGCATAAGATCTCTATTGCATAAACATATAATAAAGATTCTTTGATAATAGATTTAATCACACATTATATAGGCAGTGTGATAATTGTCTCCCTATGTTCTACGAAAATATACATCAGTCAGATTTTACTGATTTCTGTGCTAAAAATCCTGCCTGCAGGTTTTTATCTTTTTTGTCAATAAATATAATTATAGTCCTTATAATCTGCCTTTAGTTACACCAAATTATATCTAATTCATCTCTATATTCTCTTTGATAAACTAAGACAAATAATTTTACACAACAAATGGTGGTAATCCAAAATCCTCTGGTTTGAAATCTTCTAAACTTTTTAAGACCAATGTAGCATCTTGACTAATGAGATGTTTAGGAAGTTCAGGATCCGGCACCATCACCACTTGCATCTTAGCAGCAAGAGCACCCTGCACTCCATTCGGTGAATCTTCAAAGACTAGGCACTACAGATAAATAGATTTGAGTTAAAAAATATTTAACATTTGTTAAAATCTACAAACCTTTGAAGGATCAGGATTATCAGGAAAACGGTTTGCAGCGATTAAAAATATATCTGGGCTTGGTTTTCCACGGACAACCTCTGGATCAGAACCACCATATACTTTATGATCAAATAAGTTGAATATGTGTTTCCATTTTTGGGTTTTCAGATCACTGCTTTCCAGACTTGAACTTGTAGCCAGTGCAATAGGCACATTATTTTTTTTAAGATGCAGCAACAGTCTTTCCACACCTATATATATAGTGTTTGTATTAAAATTGGCTAAGATATAATGCTAAATTATTTTTAATCTTGCTTTAATTTACCTGGCATAATATTACATTCAGGAAATACTTCTTGATATATAGAAACAAGTTTGTCCTCAAATGTTTCCACTGAAATGGGCAGTTGTAACTGATCTATTATAGATTGCACAGCTTCAGTGGTTTTATAACCCATAATTTTTGCCTTGTGTTCCCAAGTATACGTTTTCCCAAATTCTTGAGTGACATGGTTGTATGCCACAGTGTACAGAGATTCTGTATCTGTAAAGAAATATCAGTTATTTCTTTTTTATTTTCAATATTAAAATATTGTTATCATATGTTACAGATAACACAATACAATATGTTTAACATATAAATTTAAAGTAAGATTTCAATATAATTTTTTTATAAAATTAAATGCACAAATATGAGAAGAAAAATTCAGAAAATGTATTTACCCAGTAATAAACCATCCATATCGAAAATGCAATGAGTGACTTTCTCGAAACCCATTTTAGCTGTCAATTGATTTCTATTAGATTAGGTTATATCCAAAGTACTTTGCCGGAACTCTCGTAGAAATCCGTATTTCGAAAAATCTGCTATTTATTTTTATTTCGAGAAAAAGGATTATTACAAAAATGCTAAAGAAGATATGTTAGAATACGCGCACTAACGTTTTTCCCCTGTAATAAGGCAACTTGTACCAGAGCTGCTTGTACTGATAGTTGTGCAACATGCAACCCGATTTCGACATAATATAACAGATATAGATAGATGATATCGAGCGATACCCCAGAAGTCTCCCTCTTAATTGTTAATTATTTCGTTTTATTCAACGCTTTAAATTTCTTTCGATAGAATCAGTCATCTTTAATTAATTTTAATTAATTGAAACATAATTTGTTCACATTATTAATCGCTCTCTCGTAGAATATACAAAAAATAATAAATATGCAATATTGCATATAATTCAAAGTCAAGTCATCACGTACATTGAGCAGAGAAAAAAAACATCTTTACTTTTAAAAATCTTTACTTATATAATTATTATTTCAATAATTATATAAAATGTATATGTAATATGCATAGATTATTTACAACTTACACTGAAAAGATATGATAAATTGTCAGCATAGTTACAAGTTATAAAAATGCAATTATATAACATATATAAATTAGAGCTACATACATTTTATGAAATGTATTTAATAATAAGTGTAATTAAACAAGTGTATGTATAAATACACACAATTTGCAATAATATTCTTAATACTAATCATGGTACACGATATAAAATGTATGTAAATATTTTATCTAGTTTTTTATTTTTTCTTTAATTCTAATTTATACTTAATTATATTTTTTTATTTCGTCTAGTTATTCTTATATACAAAAATCTAATATTTATTCACATAACAAAGTTTTATGAGTTTTTAATTCCATATTTTGAGCTAATTTTTTGTCTTTTAGATCTTACATCATTATAAATTAATGCGATAAAATATTTATAAAAATTCGTTGTTTTAATTAATTACAGATTATTTTCGTTAAAATAATAGATTATTTTATTTTATTCTTAATTATCAATAAAACTTGTTCTTTAGCTTGCAGCTATATCTTTGTATATGTTTATGTATTTTATATTGTGTGATTTTAATAACATTTGTTATTATCGTATATATTAATAATAACAATTGTATGTATCTCATATAATCAATCAACACAAAGATATAGGTGTCTTTATTTAAGCATGATATTAAAAAACAATTTTATCTATGTTGAATTAAATCATTTTCTGTAACGTTTGAAATGCTATAAAAATTATACGGCAAGTTTGTTGGCAAAAAGTTTTGCAGCGCGGCTGGCACTGCATTGAAATAAGTCGTGTTTCGTTCTCTGAATACAGTTTCTTGTACAGTACCATTAACATCTGTTTGGAAAGTCTGAATAGTAGCTGTTGGAATAGCTTGGATGACTATAGGTTGTGATGTTGAAGCATAAGGAACTGCTTGTATTACCTATAAAAATATAACATTTAAATGTTCATGCTGTGTTAATCAGATGCAGATAAGGTATATTGCTTCAAAACTAATTCAAATTTCTATGATATTTTAATTCAACTTGAATTATCTTAGAGAGATCCAATATTTTAATATTATTATATTTACTTATTATATTATTATATTTTACTTATATTATTATATTTTTCATCTACTTTACTATTATTAATACATAAATTAATATTAGAAAATAAACATTTTATACTTGCGCTGTCGTGGATTCTGTTTGAGGTACAGTGAGCGGATCTTCTTCCTCAAGAGACTGCGTTTGTTCCGTCGTCTGTTGCAATTGCTGATTGTTAGTTAGATGCTTGGTGTGAGAAGTGTTGATTCCGTGACGACGCTTCATATGCTTATTATAATTTGGCCAATTTGTAAAATGGTGCTGACATTCTAAACAACTGTACGGACGCTCTCCCGTGTGCTGTCGCCTATGTGTCTGCAATTGCAAAACAATTGTATTAAATCGATATTTTAATTTAATTAGATAATCTTTATTTAATATTTTTTTAATTAATTAATGTTTATTTTAATTTATTTTAATATTTTAATTAATATCTAATTAAATAGAGATTTTAATGCCATACAATTAAAATCTGGTAGTAACTTACAGTTAATATCCCTTTGAAACGGAAGCGTTTTCCACAAAATTCACAAGAAAACGGCATTGCGCCGGTATGAATTCGGTGATGTTCCCTTAAAGTTCCTTTCTCCCTAAAGGTTCTTCCGCACACATCACACTGATGTGGCTTGGCACCTGTATGCACTGTCTCATGTTTCTTCAATTGCAAGGGCGTTTTAAATCTGTAAAATATTAATTCTTTTTGAAATCATATAATAATATACTTATATGTAATGTGTAATATAGACTTGACATTTTAACTTACGCTTTTGGACACTGAGAGCAGCTATATGGCTTATCTACTGAATGAGTTAAAAATGGGCTTCTAAATTTCCTTTCTGTATAAAACTCTTACCACATTGATCGCATGTAAAGTTTCTGACACCAGAATGAATACGTTGGTGCGTTACAAGATTTGGTTTTGTAGAAAACCTAAAAATAAATTTATGAGTCAAAAATATATAGATAATATTCATTAAAATATAATTATTCTGAAAATAAACAAATATATCAACCTCTTATCACATTGATCGCATGGATATCTATTTTTTACAGTATCGGGTAAATGGCATCGATTATGGATATATAAAGCACTTTGCTGTCTGAAAGCTTTACCACAAGTTTGACATACAAAGGGCCGTTCTTCGCTGTGAATCGTTTTATGAGAATCTAATACTTTTTTATGTACAAATGATTTTCCACAGTCTTCACAGCTAAAAGAAAATTAAACAATATTAATAAACATGTTTATACATATATTCAAAATTTCACATGACTACAGCAAATGATTTATACCTAAACTTTGCCTTATTCTTGTGCCTCTTAACATGAGTAAGAAACCCATAGTACTTATCATAGACCTTACAACATTGCACACACATATACTTGGCTTTTTGATTATGCACTGTTTCATGATGTTCCTCTAATGCTTCTAAACTTGGTAATTTATCATTGCAGTCTGTACACAACCAAGGATATCTCTCTAAACCTTCTGTCTTTTTTCTTCCTTGCTTAGTTGTTTCCATTGTTCGTGTTTCTCTCATTTCTAAATTAGACTCTGTCTCTATATATTAAAAACATATATTGTATTAGACTTACAACAGATCTATTGGTATTAATTATAATATCTATGATGAGTTTTAAGAAATAAGCAAAGCAAATAAAATTACATATATATGAAATTCTTTTATATATATATAAAATATCTTACCAGATATATAATTATCTACAATCTTTAAAGTATTTTTCACAGCTGCATCATTCTGTTCCGTTTCTATTTGGGAAGATACATGAAGCTCGGATTCTTCTTCTTCCATTCTTTGCATCTGATTTCTTCTTTTTAATCTTTTCTTACTCTGTTTAGGGGAACTTTTCTTTATCTGTATCTTACACTTTTTCTGTTTTGCGTTATCTTGAGTTTCCTGCGTTTCCTGAGTTTCGGAATTTTCACCTTTATTACATTCTTCAATAAAGTTGTAAGTATTCAAGACATTGACCGTCTCATTGATATAATTGCCAGTTAATTGGCGCTCAACTATCTCTTCTCTATTGTTAACTTCATCTTTTGGAAAATCTATAGTTTCCTCTACATAATCTATATTTGGTTCTATTGGTTGTGGTTCAGGCTTTAAATCTACCAATAATTGCTTTAGTGATATTTGTGCTTGATTAGTCTTCTCAAAGAATTCACTGGATTGATTCAACAAGTCACAGCACTCTAGACAAACCGTGAGTGGCAAACTGTCTGTTATTAGAACCTGCACACACAATTGTAATAGTCATTATTAAAATCCATCAGAAATATCAAAATTTGTGTAACGAGAAAATTAAATCTATATACATAAGTAGTTATATTACTACAAATAGTTATTTTATAGCATACAAAAACAATTTAATACAATTGCTCTAGATTGATAATAAAATGACATAAATTCATAAACTCGAGCAAAATATAAAATGTATGCAAATATATACTTTAAATTTTAAGTTTTCCAAAAAAGTATGAAAGTAACAATTATATAATAATCACAATTATAATCATTTATGGTATCAGATCATATATTAGGATAATCAATACATATTATATCTATAAACTCAGGCTGCATTCCATGCAAGATTCACTTCAAGTATTGAAAATTGATTTTCGAAATGCGATTACAATATGAAATAAAGTATTTCTATTCTTCTGGAATAGATACATTAAACGGGAGCAACAGAGAGAGAACTGTCAAATTGATGACAATTTCACCTGTATCTGCAAACACTTCGCAATCTTCGTCTCGATCGCGAGTTTCTGCCCCTCGGCGTCGTAGATCCCGATGAGATTCTTCTTGGTCTCGGCACACAGCCGGCAATAAAGTTCCGGCTCCGTCATCCTCATTCAATGCACATGCGAGATTGTCGTACGCGTGAGATCGTCGTACGGCGTCACCGCGCGAAAACGCATCGTGCTCGTTGGTTCAAGGCCGTTTGTGGGGTAACGCGTAGAGCGACCGATTCTCCCAGGTTCGATCCCGAAGCCTCAATAACCCATACACCTCGGCGCTGAAAATGCCCGAGAGAGAAGAGGAACAGAAGCGTCGTACTGCGTTCCTACGAGGCGGGAATTCATTCATAATATTGACAGCTCAGACGGAGGATCGCGTATATCGCGCGCGTATTATCATATCGTACCGCTGGTAAACAAACGATCGACACGAACAACGCTAATTCGGTTCACAGCGGACATGTTGGTTCTCCCTGCTCGCCGTGAGAAATCATAACTATTGAGAAGCGACTTGTTGCGCGATGAACAGCGATCGATCACGACCGAGTCAGTCAACGATTGTTTTTTTTCTCCTCGAGCAGCGAATAAAAGATCGCGTATTTCGCAATGTTCCCAAACGTGTAATTTGTCAAAGCGTTTGTTTGCGGAGCAAAAAAAACATCTGATTTGTAATACGCATGGCGCATGCGCACGATTTCATTCTCGCTCGGTATTGTCAAAGTCCGCATTTATCAACAGTAGTTATTGAAGGTATTTGCGTTTACCAATATGGTAATACAGAAATTCCCGCTGAAAAATCAAACATGGTCGTTTGTAATCGTGAAGATTTTATGAGCAACAAATTTAGTTATTATTTAATACAATAAATATAAAATGATAAATTATACGGCAGACTAAATTATAGGAAAATTGATAGTTCTTGGTAACATGAAAATATAAATATTCATCTGAACGCAGAAATATGTACAAGAAATTTATCTTATCATTTCAATAATTATAGCAAAGAGCAGTAATTAAACATTAAAGAATAACAATTATTTCTTTTTTTTATCTTTTTTGAAAACTTTAATGCTTTATTCTTATTATCAAAAATTAAATAATCCAATTTCAAACAAAATATTTTATATAATTTTTGTAATATATGAATATTCTGCAGTAAAAAAGTATCAAACATATCATTGTTCCTATTGAAACTTTTAAAATCTAAAAATAAGTATAAAACATTGCATATATCGATTAACTCGCATTTATCTTGAATATATGGATTTGTAAGTAGCAAAAAATGTCCGGAATTAGAACCCGTTTAAAATTCCGCAGATGTATTAGCGAAAGTTTACGTTTTCTCAGAAGCTTCAATGAATGTCAAACGCAGTCAAAAATGGCCGTCTTGAACAAATATCCATGATTGTGCCGAACTCGCCACTAATTTCTTTCACATATTTGCGTATTACAGAATGTACTTTTTCTGAGAACTTTTGACGCAGCGTTATTTCAATTTCCATGCTTTCGTGTATTCTCCTTTCACTTGCATCAACAGAGATTTTATACTTTCCACTTTTCATATAATCTGGGTAAAAAAAGTAAACTTTAGGGAATTAAAGAAATCTTCACAATAAATTGCCTTCCAATAGAAAATCTTCAAATTGCTTTTTCGAAGATATTATATTATCTTCAAATTCTCTAAAAATTGATCAAGCTTATGTATAAAATGTTTTCATTACAATTTTCAAAATTTTCTAGAAAGTATTTGCGGTCTCCGCGGAATATTAGACGCGAGTTAATGAGCTTGACTAAAGGCAGTTTAATCAGCTAACTCATAAACGATGAGTGAAAATCGAAAGCAGCCATATCCGAATAATAATATTTGAAAGAAAAAGTCGCGGGGCGTATTATATTTTTTAGAGAAAAGGCGTGATTTTTTGAAGCATCGCTCTGAGTATTGTATCAATATTATAAGTTCGTACCCAAAAATGATCCGTACACAAAGAAGGGATCCACGATGTACAGCGTTGAAATCCCCAATGGGTGAATCTCGTCACGGAGACTTCGACGCTCGAAAACGTGATTCACCGAATGGTAAAAGTATTGACGCGATGTGTCCTCATTGTGTATATATAGGGGTGCCTGTGACAAGAAAACACTGCAGTTCCTCGTTGAACGTCTGTAGAACAGCATCAGGTGGAGGGATACCTGTCCCGTCGAAGGAAGTTTCTTTTGTGAAAATCAGTTGAGACATTTCATCGCCTAATCTTGTTCAGATTAGAATCGAGTTGCAGCTGACCGTATCAGGTAATGCTGAAAAATAATTAGATGCGATTAAAATTGTATCGTCATACTTCCGTATTTGAGTTTCTTATTTTAAAATGCATTGTAAACAATACTTTTTTTATCTATTTAATATATCCGGTATCCAATTATTAAAAATAAATTCTGTATACTTTTTGAGTTATATTTTATCTATAACGTGTGTGTAATAAAAAAGAAATAATATTTAGTAACATTAGTTGAATCTCAAATTTTGGCACCTGTCACAAAGCAAGACTATATCTATAACGTGTGTGTAATAAAAAAGAAATAATATTTAGTAACATTAGTTGAATCTCAAATTTTGGCACCTGTCACAAAGCAAGACTGGGTACAAGGTACCACCTTGTATAACGTTGAAATCGTAAAACCGGTTTGAGGATATGGTCGCTTCTTTAAGAAAGTTCAGGAATTTAAACCTAAAGATAACAAAGAAAGTATTTCTACCAGAATCAAAAAAAGATGAATTATTTATATCATTATAATCAAATTTTAATGTTAATTTAATGAAACGAAAATACTGATAATATAAATAAAATTAAGAAATGAGCTAATGTGAGAGACATAGAAATTAGGAGCAATAAACTTGTAATCCTTTTTTGGATCATGTTCAGTAGAAATCAATTAACAAACAATTCATACATCTTGATCCACATCTCCATTTTTAAGGAAACGTTTAAATTAACTAAAAAGATTTTTTGTTTTTTTTATGGCCGTATATGAAGAGAAGAAAAATGAAGTCGCTCGTGTATTTTGTTGCTCTTGTGACGCTGTCGTTCGCCCAATTTCAACCGCAACCCAGTGGTCGGATTCTGGAATCACCGAATCCCGCACTTTGCGCACAGAGTAAGTCTATTTATGCATCACTATTTTTATCAAAATCTGTCAATTCAACGTGAAAAGCTTTTACAAACATCTTTCACACATATCTTTCAAATGTTGATATTATTTGGATGCGAAATGTTTTAATCGTACAAAATATTGCTCTTTCATTATCGCGTTATTGTGTAAAGATAAAAGAATAAATAAATAAATTGAATAATTCATCGCTAAATTAACTTGTCGACTATTGTAAATAAACTTTATGCAAATAGATCGGCTGTGGAAACTGCCGCTTAGAATTTTTATACAAATTGATCTCCCGGTTAGAAGGTGAATAATCTAAGCATTCCCAATGCTCTCTCTAAAAGTTCACACCGGAGAGAGTCTTCATTCTATTTCCCTTTAACAGTCAAACATCCGAGGAAACTACGGACCAGAGAAAGTATTTTCAATATTTGTGATTAAAGAGAGGCCGCGATCCTCCACTACGGAATCCTCCTCCTTCATCCGTTTTCCTACTCCGCCTCGGACCTTCAACCATTGTATCTTCCGCGTCTGTTGCATCCTCTTACATCGACGTCGCGTGGTTAATTACACGTGACGTTCATTCTTTACATCTTGCGCGTCTTACTCGACGTTCGTTATAGAAAGTGTGACGATGACATCGACAGCGGTGTAACTCGAACGCATTTGAATTGTAAATGTCCTCGTCGTAAGTAGTACGGAATGTCGGGTGGCACTTTCACGTTCATCGCGTTTTCGGTTGAGTTGAACCGGTAACAATAAATCACCGCTCGTTATCTAATCTGAAGTCTTAGCTTTTTTAGTATTTTTCCTAGATTCTTCCAGCCATTTCCCAGCATTCTCTTACCCCATTATCTAAGCAGAAATTCACACATAGAAGATCATAAACTAAACTTTTTAATAGTCAAAAATGTTAAAATAATTTTAGAAGAAGATTAAGCCTTATTTGAACTATTTCATCTTGTACTTTTTTGTTTGTATAAAATAAATTATGTTAATTTTTTTCGTCTTCTAAAGATAGATAAAAAATAGATATTTGAATTGATTTAATTCTTCCAAGATTGATCTCAATCTTGGAAGAATTAAATCATAATTTAAATATCAGATGAGAATAAAAAGCAACGCAAGATTCTCGAACATTCATTTACGAGATTCTAAACTCGGAACAATAGGAGAGAATGTGTCATGCATGGGACCTGATGACTGATTATTCATTCATAAGGTATAACCGGTCGACGCGCGTTCCAAAGACGCGCCCCTCATAAAAAACTTTCTTCTTCTTTATTTGGAAAGTGACACGCGCCATATAATCAATATACAGCGCGGGTGCCAATGTCTAGGTCGTGACTGCGATTGCTTGGGGGTCGCCGCCACGACTGACACTAATTTCGCAACTTTCACTCTGGGAGCGAGAGACCTCGGGCTCTTCCCAGTGTAAACATACCTCTTGAACATTCAAAGACGTTTCCTAAAGATTATTGTCTATTGTCTAATGCTTGCGCTTTAATTCATTCGATCTTCTAATTGCGGTTTTACTCGCAGGAATCATCCATCAACGATTCAATGGAAAAGGCTATTACTTTTCATGGGCTGATCCAAGAACGGCCGGGCAGGAAGTGGACTGGCTGTCGGGTAGAAACTTCTGTCGACAACGTTGCATGGATCTAGTCTCGTTGGAGACTTATGCCGAGAACGAGTTCATCAAGAGCCACATGGTCCAAAGTACTATATCACTCTGCAAAAAAAGAAGACAAAAAAAACAAAAGACGTAAAATGCTTTTCTCTTGCAGACAAGGTGAAGTACATCTGGACCTCCGGTCGCCTCTGTGACTTCAAAGGCTGCGACAGGCCAGATCTGCAACCCCTTTATATTAACGGTTGGTTCTGGACCGCCGAGTTGCAAAAGTTAGCGCCCACCAATGAACGCTCCCAAAATGACTGGTCCGAGAGCGGCGGGTAAGACTTGTTATTCGCAGTATTACATATCCATAACACCGACCTGTAATTTTGCGTTGCTCAATGTTACTAGTCGAATATATCGAGATACATCAGATCAAGATTGTCCATATCCTCACACACTTTTGAGCTCAAGGATGTTAAACAAGTTATGATTAAATCTTCTCTATCCGCCCGCTATAATTCCCTGTATTCTTTGCTCTATAATCAATGATTGTGTGTCTAACAGTCAAGGATCCTAAGCATATATATGATATTAAATGTGACAAAGCGATAATGTATCTTAGTTCATCTTCTGAGAATTCATTCTGTATTGGACAATATGTTTTTCTTTTTTTTTCAGTATCGGCAAGCCGCAGCCAGACAATCGCGAGGCCATTCAGGGCGGCGCTCCCGAGAATTGCTTGGCTATCCTCAATCAATTCTACAATGATGGAGTGAACTGGCATGACGTAGCATGTCATCACAAGAAACCATGGATCTGTGAAGACAATGAGTCTCTCCTGAGATATGTTCGTTTTACCAATCCCAACATTCGCATATAATGGAAGAGGAATATCGTAGAATAATAGCTTTACTTTTGTTCAAATGAATTTAAGCACCTATAAAATCATAATGTTCAAATGTGTGTCTACGCCAGAGAAGCGACTGAATAGCCATATAGAACATCTTATTTATTATTATTATAATGTTATTAATAATATTTCATGCTTATTCAACACTGTAGAGTATGAAATATTTTATTAAACTTGTAGGCATTATTTGATTCCAGGAAAAATTAACTATTTATATTCTTAGATATAATCCTAGACATAGATGGAAAATTATATTTGATAGAATAGAAACTGCAGTTTGCACACACTCAGAATTCTTAAATTATTACAAAGTTCTATATAATTACATTTCTAAATAATATATATACATACTAATTGTAATTTCAAATAGTAATAAATTCGTGAATAAATAACTTTGCATATTTTTTCATTATTAAAAAGCAGTTCATTTGTAATATGCATTAATTTATAACATCTTATAAATTACTTGTATAAAATGCATAAACTGTTCTCTTTAAAAAATTTTTCTCTTTTATAAAAATTTAAATTCCAGATAAAATTATATTTATCAATAAAAGATATATATCACAAATGTTAAACAAAGTTCTTACAAAAAGTCTAATAATATTTATCATATTTACTTAATCAAATATGTATAACAGCTTTACAAGTGCTTGAAAAATAGGTATGTACTTTAAGCTACTTTTTACCTTCCACCATTATGATGTGATATCCAAATTTTGTTTTCACCGGTGGATCCGTGTAAACTGGAGATGACAGATTAGAAACTGGCAGTGCAAAGGCAGCATCTTGAAAGGGTCCTACCATGGAGCCACGTGTCATCCATCCAAGATCACCCTTCAGATAATAAAATGCAAAATTTCAGACATAATTATTTTCTACTATTTATTTATTAAAACGATATTTTCTTAATATATTCACGTTACCCCAGATCTGGCCTTGTCTTCACTGTATGTTGCTGCGACTTCATTAAATTTCTGACCAGCTTTTAACTTTTCCAACGCCTCCAATATCTTTGATTGCTTTTCGCACAGTATGTGTCTAACCTGTATTTACACATAAAAAGAAAATTCTATATAAAACTGTACTGTAATTTTTAAATATAAATATAGTTTAGATATAATTGAAGAGAATTATAGGATAAAATAGTTTTTGTGGATGGATGATAAGTGAGGATAAAATAAAAAATTGTAAATCAAGGAGCTTAAAATAAACTATTGTATATATATATATATATATATATATATATATATATATATATATATATATATACATATAATAAACAAAAATAAATACGAAAATGACAAAAGCTGTAAACAATTGTACATATTTAATAGTTTTAAGAGTTTAATGTTTAATAGAATGTTAGGTAGAATATTATGTAGATAACAATAACAACACAATTATATGGAGTATACATGTTACTCATCGATACAAAATATGTGCTTTCTTACTTTCACCGCATTTCCTCCTTTCTTTTCGGCTTTTCCACTCTCCTCCGAAGATTTACTGCTACCTTTACTGCCTTTCGTGGCACCGGCATTCTTTTTCGGCGGCATGTTTATGTTTGTAATTTTAGGTTACATCAACCCGGAAATATGCCGGCGTTTATCTAATCTAAATCCGGAAGTGATGTCAATTTATTAAAGCCTTTCGGGTTATGTTCTAAAATTCACTCCTTTCCGATAGAGCACCAATCAGGACAGAGAAATTTTTGCTTTTTTCGTCCTGATTGGTCAAACGCGATTCTATTCTAAGCTCCAAGATGTAAATTTTAGAACGCAATCTCTATTAACACATAGGCCCGTTTCTACCAACGTTGATTAAATTAAATCTCCGGTTGAGTATATCTTTGTCTCTTTTTAAGAACTTATTTAAAAAGAGACAAATATATAATTTAATCGAAGGTTCAATTTAATCGACGTTGGTAGAAACAGGCCATAAAGCACGACTGGTATAAGTAATATATATATAATTTATTTGCAAATTCTTCCTCTTTAAAGAACGGTTTATTCTGTTGATAATAAATAGAAAAGTTTAAATTTTATTGATAATAAATAAAAAGTTGCAATGGAGCTAAAGCGACCAGATAAACCAGCAAAGTGCACGTGGAAAGCGAACGAGGAAAATTCACCCCACACGAAACGAACAGAGTAAGTTTATTGAAAATTTTGCAATTTATATACCCTTTTTCCACATTTTGCCATCACACATGCATGCTACATTATAATTCTATTTTAATTTTAATAGTAAGAAACTTTAACAATATATTTTACTAGCAAAATGTGGAAAAAGGGTATATAAATTGCAAAATTTTCAATGTGTATATGGAGACCATACCATATGGTATTACAATTATAATATAAAAAATAAATGAAAAATATGTAAAATTTTGTACAGATATTACTACAAGTTGTAATATATACTGTGCTAATAAACTGGAAATATAATAAAATACACAAGACAAATGTGCTAATTATATTATTTTGTTACAGGACATTGGACCGTAAGAAAATATTACCCAACGTTTTAAGTACAATAGGTCAGACACCCCTCATTCGGCTCAATAATATTCCTAAAGCTAATGGGATCAAATGTGAAATGTGTCAGTAAAAAATTTCTATATTATAAATATCATATATTCTATATATTTTATAAATTAAAGAAAACCTCTCTGATTAAAACTTTTATCAATTACTGCTATTTTTTTTACACAGATGCAAAGTGTGAGTTCTTTAATCCTGGAGGCTCTGTAAAAGATCGAATAGCAAATAGAATGATAGAGGATGCGGAAGAAAAGGGACTGATAAAGCCAGGCTATACTATTATAGAACCTACTAGTGGAAATACTGGAATTGGTCTAGCAGTAGCTGCAGCAGTTAAGGGCTATAAATGTATCATTGTCATGCCTGAAAAAATGTCTAATGAAAAGGTCTATGTACTTCGCGCACTCGGTGCAGAAATCATTAGGACACCAACCGAAGCTGCTTGGTACAGTCCGGAAGCGCATATCAGTGTTGCTCAAAAATTGCAAAAGGAGATACCCAACAGTATTGTCTTAGATCAGTATACAAATTCTGGTAACCCATTGGCACATTATGATCAAACTGCGACTGAACTTTGGGATCAATGTGATGGAAAAATTGATTATGTAATTGTTGGTGCTGGTACTGGAGGTACAGTCACAGGAATTGCACGTAAATTGAAGGAACTGTCGCCTGATGTAAAGATTATTGCTGTGGATCCGAAAGGAAGTATTTTAGCAGAGCCACCTGAGTTGAATAAAGAGGACGTTGGTTTTTATGAAGTAGAAGGAATTGGGTATGTATATAAAATGTTATCATGTTATACAGAATAAAAAAAGTCGATTAAAATATTTTTCTTCCAGATACGACTTTGTACCGACGGTTTTGGATCGCAGTGTTGTTGACATGTGGATGAAGACGGAAGACTACGAATCATTAAATGCAGCACGTGAATTAATTCGTACAGAGGGACTCTTATGCGGAGGTAGCAGTGGTGCGGCACTTTCCGCAGCGATTAAAATTGCTAAAAATCTGTCGGCGGATAAACGTATGGTCGTCCTTTTACCAGATGGTATACGCAATTACATGACAAAATTTGTATCAGATCAATGGATGGAGGCCAGAGATTTTTTGGTAAAATCATTTGCGATGTATCGAAGATATATACTTATATATGATTGCGAAAGTGTATAAAATATTTACTAAATCATAATCTTTTTTCTTCAGACATGCGAACCTTCAACAGAGAGAAACAAATGGTGGTGGAATATACCGTTATTAAATTTAACGTTACATAAGCCTGTAGTATTATCGAAGGGAATGTCATGTCAAGATGCTGTAGACTTCTTTAAAACTAGCAACACGCAACAACTATTAGTAACTGATGACACAAAAATACACGTGAAAGGTGTTATTACGTCAGATGCGCTCCTATCTAATTTGATTTCTGGGACGGTTGAGCAAACGGACTGCGCCGAGAAAGTCATGATCAAGCAATTTACAAAAGTTACAAACTCGATTACGCTGGGTAAACTATCACGTATTCTTGAAAAAGAATCTTCTGTCGTAGTTTTAAACGACGATAATGCATTGGTCGGGATTGTAAATCAAAATGATATTTTCAATTTTATAATTAAGGGCGATAATACAGCACAGAATAATGGTATTATGTAAAATTCGCCCATGTTATATAAATGTGATAAAGCAAGATTGTCGTTTGTACAATATTTGCGTATTTAGACAAGTAAGAAGGCTAAATATAAGAATAATTGAATTTTAGAATTCTTTGCTACATTATATCAAATACTAAATATTTTATAGTACTTATTTTTTATTTATATGTATACTTCAAATTATTATGTATATTAATATATAATAATGATTTTTCTTAGTCCCTTTTAGCATTTGTAAATTTTAAGCATTTAAGTTTTATACATCCATCTTGATAGTGATTTTATAAATTATATATGTAACTGTGCAAAAGAAATAAAAATATATCAAATATACGATTATAAATACATGTTATTATTTTTTTTAATGTACTTTGAAACTAAAACATCTGTAGTTCATTTATATATACGAATTATATTTAAATAATTTTTCTCTTTCTGAAAATTAATGATTTCATTTGACTAAACATAAAAATGTAAAACATGTTAAATATCTATTACATTCCCTTATATTTAATTAAATACTAGGAATTTTATCATATATATTTCTTTTTACATTTACCTCTATCGTTTATATCTATTCTTTTATCAAATCATTAGAACAGCTATTAAATTTTTGAACCTGAACATGAAATTTACAGCTTGGTAATGTAGTAGTCTCTGCTGTAACAGTACTGATAATACCAAGATTTGCTAAACTACCTCTGAGTAGACCACAAGTGAAGGCCAGTAGACGAGGACTCTCTTTAAGATACTGTTTACTGTTGCTTGTACCTACTTTATCTAATAATCTGAAGGCATTATCTTGCAGCACATATACTCCATGATGATTAGTTCTGAGATTATCAATTTGCTTGTGATATAGGCTGGACCAGAAATCTGTGCAGATAAACTTAATCATATCCAATTCATCCTTGAATCTGCTCCATTCTCTTGTTAATCGTTCAATAATTCTGTATCCAACACTGAAACCCATCCATTCTAGACGCGAGAGCTCTTCTTCGCCTTCCTGTGTCAAAAATAATACAAATTGGAGGATTCTTTTATAGTAAATAATAAAAGATATTGTAACACATGTAAAAGTATTACTATCATCTTAAGCTCATTACTTACTGTAGCGTTAGATGATTTACTCAGAACATAATTGACCAATTCAGCATGCAAATATTCAAAGAGACAGTCGTCGGCTTCTCCAGTTGCATTAAGATTTGCTTTTGAATCAATTATTTGTTGCTTCATTTTGTTCGATATTATTTTCTGTTTCACTTGATCGTGCGTAGTTTATCCATGTGCAACCTGTTTTTCAGACAATTATATATTATATATATGTATCATATTTTAGGAAATGTATTTTAAATAACCTAAATATACATACAGTCATTAATCTTGTGTGTTTAGCTTGTCAATTGAAATAATCAATCACAATGTAATCAAATTAATCGCTAGTCCACGCATTTGCGATTATAAAATGTTGTAAAGTACGTATATCAATACATATCTCACATATCATATGCATATACGTATGACATATCGTGAACTCTTCGTTGACATGCGCAACAACGCGAATGCATGATAATGCAGTGTACTATACTGGTAACCATGGAAACTGTAATGCACATTTTCTTCATAAGATAATAGTGTACTAATTAATCTCTCTAACGTCAATATAAAAATATGTTTGCAAATAGTTCAATTTTTTACAGATGTTTATTTAATAAATATTTTTTATTAAATAAGGATTCTTATATATGTAAAGTTCATATAAGGAATATATAGTTAAGTATGTAATTTTTAAAAAATTACAAATATATATATATATATATATATAATTTAATTATATATACATATATTATTTATCCATAAATAATATTTCTAAAATATAAATGTGAAGTATGAAATAGAATATGGAGAAATACATCATCAATGGTCAAATTGGTGAAGGAGCGCAAGGCTTGGTCTTAAAAGCACGTGATATGTTTAAGGATCAGGATGTGGCATTGAAGAAGATCCTAATTAAAAGGACCGAAGATGGTCTACCTGTATCCATCATACGAGAAGTGAAAAGTTTACAGCAACTTCAGCACCCTTATGTACATTCACATCTTTTTCTTTTTTTTTAGATTACTCTGAAACAAAGGAATGAATTGTATTGTAAAAATATTTATTTATATTTTAATTTAATAAGTATTTTATTTGTCGTAATTATTACAATTTACTTGCAGGTTGTTGAATTATTGGATGCTTTCCCGAGTGGCTTAGACTTTGTGATGGTATTTGAATACATGCCTACAGGTTTATGGGAAGTGTTGAGAGATGCTGACATATCCTTGACACAGACACAAATTAAAACATATATGAAAATGTTGTTGGAGGGTATGGCATATGTACATGGAAAACACATAATACATAGGGTACTCAAATATTCAAAAATTATTCTTATTTTAGCAGGATCTATAGATGATCTCTTCCAGATTGTTTTTAACAAGTTTTCAAATTTACACTTTTAGGACTTGAAGCCTGCGAATCTGTTGATCAGCACTGAGGGTATTTTGAAAATTGCAGATTTTGGCTTGAGCAGATTGATGTGGCAGGATAGTTCGAAAGCGTATTCGCATCAGGTAGCTACAAGATGGTACCGGGCACCAGAATTGCTTTATGGAGCACGATATTACACATCCGCAATAGATATGTGGTCGATTGGTTGCATATTTGGCGAAATGTTAAACACTTCTCCATTATTTCCAGTAAATATCGCACTATCATTTTAAATAAATTGATAAAATATATAGTATAAAATCTTAATGTTGTATATAAAATTATACAATAGGGTGAAACTGACATCGAGCAGCTAGCTATAGTTTTAAAATATTTAGGCTCTCCTACATCCGAATCATGGCCTGAATTAACTTCATTACCAGATTACAATAAAATCAGCTTTGCTTATCACAAAGGTACGACGTGGGAGAGTATTATTCAAGATGCTCAACCAGACGCTATTGATCTAATCAGGAAAATTTTGATTTACAATTCGTCGAGACGCCTCACAGCTGAACAGGTGCTAGATTATTCTTATATCTATAAACATACATGGTATAATATATATATAAATAAAATGGATAATTATTTCAGGCATTGTGTCACAAATATTTTTACTCCAAACCTTATCCATCAATGAAGAATTTAATAAAACCACCACAGGATCATCGTTTGCGTGTAAAACCAAAAGAAATCAATCCAAATGTACAAACAAGCACGCTTTTCGAAAATCTTCTAAATATCATGTAATAATGTTGTGTGTGTGTGTGTGTGTGTGTGTGTGTGTGTGTGTGTGTGTGTGTGTGTGTATATATATATCGTATTTTTAATGATATATGCATATATAATCTATATAAATGCATGAGAGATTTACATAGAAAAAATTAAAAAATTCGTTAACGACTTCATTCAACAAATTTTATTTAATTACCATTCCTATAAAATGCTAATATCCTTCTAAACACTTCCGGATTGTAACCTTCAACTACAGGTCTGGCATCATCATATTCAGCTTTTTCGTAAAGCGTCAAAGGTGGTAGAGCGCACCAGAAATTTTTTACACTGGCATCGTTGGCGTCTAATGAATTGAGTTGAAATATGAAAAAGTGATAGTTCTTCCCATCTGACTGAATGCACTGCAAGGTCACGGGTTCTGGCAATTTCTTCACGGATGAACCGAATTTTTGTCGTGCACAAAATGCTGCCATGGTATATGATTTTATCAAGGTGCGACCGAAAATCTGATTTTCTACCACAGCCAATTCCGTCAAATTTCTGACTTCGTCTGGGTCATAATGCACAAAAATTGTATGAATGTTTTTCCAAGGCGTTGTTACGTTGACAGCTATCGAATGCAATATACTTGTCATTATGAGGATAATGTGTGTGTATATTGATATATAACAAACAATTAAACTCACGATATATGTCTTCAGTTTTGTAGAAATTTGTCTGATCCAAACTAATAGTATGATGCATCGGATAGATATCTGGAAGATTTATTTCCAGATTACAATTAGAATTTTCTACTGGTTTTAGAGGATTTGCTGACATGACCATCACATCTGCTCTTAAGGTGAACTGGATGAGATCAGATTCCTTTTCTGAAAAAACATTTTTATGTTATGCAATATTTATATTATGTATGTATTATTTAATATCTTTAAATATGTAAATTACCTAAATTTAATACAGTAATCCCATCGTACAATATGCATCGCTTTTTGCAATATCTGGCCCTGATAAAGATTCACAGAGTTGTAAGATCTTTCTGGACAAATTTCGCCTATAAAAATAATAAGTATGTGATTAAGAAATAAATGTATAAATTGATATATATATATATATATATATGTAAAAATACTTAATTCTTAATTTGCTAACATTTTTCTGCAGTTGGTTAGGCCAAAACTTCTGGGGAACACCCATGCAGGTCTTTCAGGATCCTTCCTTTTTGGTAGCTTTTCTTGATGAGCATCATATATATTTGAAGTATAAATTATTCTAAAAATAAGAAACATATGTAATATATAAACATGTAATATATAATTTAAAAAAAATTTAATTTAATATACCTTTCTACTATCTCATCTACATTTTCTGGTAGATCTGGAAGCAGATCTTGTATATAATTTGAAGAGCTATCTGGCAGACACACAGTATTAGTTAGTATCTGTGCTTGGCGAAAACCTTCTTGCAGGACATTATGATCCTTAAATACTAAACAAGCCTGAGCTTTCCAATCAGGATGTTTGTTGGCAAAAGATATTTTTGGTTTGAGTTGTTCTATTTTCAACCTGATATAAAATACAGTTTGCAATTGATATTAAATACATATAATACATAAAATAACGCTAATTTGCATAAAAATATAATTCTTTGAAGTACTTTCGATAAGTTCGTTTTGGAGTGATCACATCTAAAGCATCCTTCGCCTGAATTCCATGTGTGTTAAACAAATAGTTTTCGATTTTGTCACTGTATACCTTACGTTCACGTCGTACGTACCACAATTTAGTAATCTGTCTACCTATGTGTTGCTTGTATAATATTTGCGTCAACTTCATTGTATATCTTAATTAAAACAGAGAGATTAGTAATGGACGTGAATAAATGTTACAGGTTATGTTTTTCACGGGAGGAAAAAACTCTTTTCTTTATCAATATTAAATTCTTATCAAATAATATTGAAAATCGTATGTTAATATTCTCTCTCTCTCACACCAAGAGAAAACAATTAGATGGAGAATTTAATAATTTTTCAAATATATTTCTCCTTTTGCACAAAACATAACCTTTTTCCGACTTGTTATACTTTTAAGTTTCAATCGAGATTTCGATAAAATATCGATATAATCGACTGTATCGATATCTTAACAATCTCGATAATTTAACGCATGTTGCAGACGATGTACGCAATGTATATTTGTATCCGCATATAATACAATGAAAATTCGATACTTTTTTTAGCACTGTACAGAATTTATCTAGATTTATCTAGATTTCACACAGCTACGATCGTGTGGATTTCATTTGACGAATGTATATTTTCCACAGACTTCTATTAGAAGTCTGTGATATTTTCACACATCTACGGTCGTGTGGATTTTATTTGATGAATGTATCATATTTACTGACGCGGATATATATTTTGTGTCCATGTATAACGAGAGAAAAAGGAAGAGAGAGATCGACTCTTCCAACACATTTATATTTAGGCAATACTTATGTTCGATGACTTATTTTTATTAATATTTAATAATTACGAATGCGGAATTATTCTTTTACTTGACGGAACTGTACAAATTCGAACAGACAATATGCGATATACTTACGCATAATAATAGTCGTTACGGCATTCCCGAAACTTTTCTCGACGCTCCCGATATTATTTTCGATACTCCCGATATTTTTTTCGACAATTCCGATGCCTTTTCTGGCATTTTCACGTTTTTTTGGCCTTTTTCTCATCATCTCTGCTCTTCTCGGTACTTTCGCTGTTTCTTCTGCTGTTTTTACCCCGACTAACAACTGTTGTCAACTTTCGATTTCCAAAAAACGGAAAAAGCATGCATTATTTCCGCCATTTTATCTAAACAAGATAATACAAGAACTAATTAAAAATAAAAATAGCTACCTTGGCAGCGTAAACAGAATAAATAACTGCATAGTATATTTTATATATTTGAAAGTATATTAATCTTTTTAAATTAATATGTTTAGTACAAAAATATTTTCCCACCCTTTGTTTATATTATATTAATATGCATATACATAAAAATATATATAGCATAATCTATTTTTATATTCTTATATAAATTTAAAAACTAATTAATTAATTTTCTTGGCTGTAGGATTGAGCATTTTGCGCCTTTGTGCAAACATATGCAAATAAAGATGTGGGAAAACTGGAATAAAATGAATATATAATTTAGAGTTTATATAACTTGTTTTCTATATTATTCTATCTATATTCTATCGCATACTTACTTGGTATATAACCTATCATAATTATTATCAGGACATACAAATAGCTAAATGTGAAATTCCATTTGTTCGGCAACACATAACTCCATGAATCGGGATGAGTCTTAGAATATTGCACTGCAGCATAGAAGCATAATAATTCACCAGTTACACCAATTGGATACAAAATAATAAATGTGGTATATCTGAAAATATATGTCAATTAATTTTAAAATAAGCAAGAATTCAAACTTGAGATTTTTTAATTATGACAAGAAGAATACCTAAGCCATATCAATATATGTGGCAAAATATTAATAAGATTTGCAAAATAATAGAAGTATCTAATGATTTCTGTGATAGACCATGCAATGAGAGCTAGCGGAAGTCCTGGAGATGCAGCAGCATACGTAGAAGGAGTAGCCAAAATAACTCCAACCACAACCATCACACGACTGAAAACTTGGAATGTTGTAATTATAACATTAGAAGGTACTAGCCCAATTGCTGCATGTAGTATCTGAAAAAAATAAGTTTTTATAATAAAATACATAAATAAATAATATTTTATATATACAGTATACAAATAAATAATATAATGTGTATATATATATATATATATATATTTTTTTTTGTAACTATGCATGTATAACTTTATATAATTTTTATGTAACATTTTCAAATACTGCTATTGTGTTTGTTAAAAATTTTAAACTTATTAATTTCAAAAAGTATCTATCTGCTTTTTCTACTTCTCTAATAATAAGATATTATAAAATACCTCCAATACAGCTGCATTCTGAAAAATGATTACAGGTAGCTGTGTTTCATCCCACAAAGTCTTACGAGAAGGATTGATGTAATGTTGTATAATCAGATACAATATGTAACTCCATCTGAAATAAAAGAAAAAATGTGATTTTCATGAATAAACATGTATTAGAATATGTAAAATTATAGAAAATATTCTTTATAAATATAGTAGAGTAATAAAGAAATTTCTTATGTACAAAATATACAAAATATTCTAAAAACAAATATTTTGAAGATAGATGAATTTGAAATCAATACATCATTTCTCGTCATTCATTTGACATTGACAGAAAAAAATTATATATACCCCAAAGTTTGGCCAAGATTATACGACGCCAGGTAGATTTTTGAGAGAGCACTGGATTTTTTGGATTTCGTTCCAGCCATATCTGCGTAAACAACTTTTCAAACGTATCGCCGCTCCGTTCTTGAATGATTTGCAGTAATATATTTCACTACGAATGTATTATTGCTCTTCAATATGCGTGCTTATTCATTATGAAAAATATTCATGTATGCACGGCTTCGTAACGATAATGGATTAGTAATCAAAAATGCAAAATAAAGTATACTCTTTCAAGAGTCAAATTACATTTCTTGCGGCGAATTTTTTTTCGCTCGTCACGATTTTGTACATATTCATCTTCTTTTTAATTCATAAAGGTTAATCATACACCGATATTTCTTTTTGCAACTTTTTACGTTACACGTCACTGCGCTGTATAATGGTAGATTCACATTGCATTATTTGACATATGTCAATTTGATTCGCCAATAGAAAATATTCTCATCGTTCAATATTTTTGTCCCTAGAAAACAAGTTCTTTTATTGGACGTCGAACATTGCACGCAATGTGAATCCTTCATTCATGTTTTATCTTAATATTTTAGGATCTGAAACAAAATCTTTTTTATCACATTGTACACGCATTAAAACGATTACAATAAGATTTAATTAAAACACATAATCAAATTGATCAAAATGATCAAAATAATTAAATAATAATGCGCCATCAGTGCGCTACCTATGACCTTTTCCCCTCTACACCACATTCCATTCTCTCTACTCCGCTTCCCCCACGGCTTTACCCCCACTCTTCCTCCTTCCCACCCCATCTGCGCGCGGTGTGCTGCGCACTGCATTCCACAGAGCTTGCGTCATTCGCGCGGCGACACTTGAGCGGGGAGGTGTCGTTATTCGCGCGCTAACAATTTGACTAGAAAAATGGAGACAGGAAACTCTCAACCCTTTTTTAAATGCGATTATCGATTATCAAAAGACAATTCATTATACGAATTGAAGAAATTTACGTCTTGCGACGTGGCAGCACTGAGTTAATGAATTTCTGTGTTAGTGCTGAAAGTCCGAATTTTCTCACTTGATGTACCATCTAGAATACACGTAACTCTGCTTGCCGGGAAGCCGGATGGTGATTGGCCGATCGGGAATGTTGCGATGTAACGGGGAGGAACCACAGACATGACAGACATTTATAAATCTATATATATTTACAGTTTTGTTATCGAGGCGTGTGATTTGTGTTGATTTTTCGAGCGAAATATTCGCTGTGTAAATTGCGCGCCAATCGATCGAATGAGGAAAAAATAGTGGAACGAAAGAATGAATAATGAATGAAAGAAATAGTGTGATAGAAAGGAAGGATAGATAGCACCTCGACGAGCTTTTATTGCGAAAGAAAAACAGAGTTTCTTGTTCGCACATACGTGTTTAAATTCTACAAATGAACGCTCTGCGTTGTTTTAGAAGCTTGGAGATCTGTGCAAATCTATGCACACTGTACAATAAATCGAATATATTGACTTGCAAATAAAAAGAATGCTGTGTTTTGCACGAATCGCCGATGAAATACTTGCAACCAAAGTTCTCGTGCATTCTTCGACATTGTCAATTTCTATTTTAATTTTTTATGAAGTAATAATTTTTGCTTCTTTTTAAATAATAATTATATAAGACAACGTGTGCAATCACGCAATATTCGCCTAATTCTCTCGTATATGGCAAGAGAATCTTTAAACAAGTAAACTGTGATAAAGAATTATTAACACCAAAAAAACATGCACAGAATCATCGAATTAATCTTAAACAGCGCCTTATTATGGATATTCTTGCAAACGTTGCTGAGTGTATTAATTACTGTTCTGTACGAGTTTTGCATTCCTTGGATCGTTTGGGGCTCGTTAATTATTGTGATTGCACTCAGATTTACCCGAGTGTCTCCTCCGCCTGTCAAAACTGTCCAAAAAGTACTCGGTGTGAATCCACTCCTCTTGGGCAAAAATAACTCTGTGCCTGAAAAACATGGTAACGGAGAGGAATACTGCATGCGAGTGGTGGCTCACCGTGGTGGAGGATACGATTATCCTGAAAACAGTTTGCTGGCTTTTCGAAATGTAAAATTACATATTTCAAAATATCTAGTTATATAAAATACTTGTAAAATTTCTGTTAGACTTTGACATTTTTGTATCTCAGTCTTATTAGCTTATTTAACATAATTGCTGCTTGATAGTATACAATAGAAAGAACTAATAAAGTTAATTTATCAATATTATTTTTTTTAACATTAATATTTTAATCTTATTTAATCATTAAATATTTGTATTTCAAATTATATGCATTTTTATTTTATATATACAAATATATCTTAAACATATTTCTTTAAATATATTACCTATACTTACAGAGCAAGGGAAAGGGCTGCAGTGCTGTAGAGCTTGATTTAAGACTAACAAAAGATAACATTCCAATAATATTTCATGACTCAACAATTGAAAGACTTACAGGCCAAACAGGAACAATTAGTGAGATGACATGGGAGGAATTGAGAGAGTTAGATATATCTTATAATCATCCACTTAGGTATGATTATATAACTTATAATTACCTGCTTACATAGGTATGACATAGGTATGATTGTGTACATATTTTTTTAATCTAATTATAATTTTTTAATAGTTTATTTTCTCTTTATTAGTTGAATATTCAATACTAGAACTTTAAACTTCATCTTTTAATTATAATTTATACATTTAAATATATAATGATATAATTTAGATGTAAAATGCACCTTATAATAAATATATATTTAAGTATTTTAATAGAAAATATGTACATATGTTTGATCAAGGAATAAGTTTTCTGATGGCGAGAGAATCGCGCTGTTATACGATGCGCTGCAAGAATGTCTGAATGGCGAACAGAGAGTAATTATAGATATAAAAGAAACTAGGACGGATGTCGTGCAAGTTGTTCTAGATGCGTACAAAAAATATCCAAAATTATTTGAAAGAGGCATTGTATCGAGTTTCAATCCAATCATAGTATACATGGTACATGTGGGAAATTCAAATATTAATATAATTTATATATATGCTTAAAAAAATATCTTTTAATCGTTAATATATTCATCTTAATCTTACGTTCAGATTCGAAAGAAAGAGCCACGTATTGTCTCGGGTCTTGCTTGGAGGCCGTATTATTTTTCGAGATTATCATACGCTGGCCTGGAAGCGCTTGGCGCGGCACGATTTCATAATCCGTTTAAACATTTGGCAGCTTGCATCTTGGAATTTTTGTACGAGTGGTTACTATCTCGCTTCGTTTATTATATCATTGGTATTTCTGCTATATTATTGCACAAGGACATAGTAAATCCGTATGTTCAAATCAAATTCTTAATAATTTCATATATATTTGTACGAACGAATAATACGTATATATAATTATGATAAATTTTATTTCAGACGCGTAATAGAACGGTGGTCCGAACGTGGTATTCGCGTGATGGCATGGACGGTAAATCGACCGTCAGAGAAAACGCACTTCTCGAGGCTCTTCAAAGTCACTTATCTAACTGATACGCTACATCTAGAGAAGGACATGTAGTAAATGTCCGATATATTTGTTCAGTATTAATTTTCAAAGACTTGTATGGTATGCTGGCATTATACACGTACAAATTTTTCTACTTCTGATTACATAGATTATGTCATAATCAAGCATCTAGTCGGGTCTCAAATTGACTTAAACTTAGAATATAAGGCACTCGTTTTATAATTGGAGACAAAGGAATCTATCGCTTTTACGTTCTAATCGAATGTATGCAAAATTTTCATTTTATTGAAAAATAAAATATACTTTGACATAAAGTATAACGTCTTGTGCAATTAATTATCTTTGAAGAACAATAATAAATTGGCTCAATAATGCATTAAGAAAGTTTAAATGGACGAAATTATAAATGATTTCTTGCAAGATATATGTAGAAGAGTTTTATTATATTTCCTACTTACAAGTAAATTATTATTAAAGAGAGTCATATGTATATGTATATATAAAACTTATCCATTTTTTTTTATAGACAATCATCAGATATAATTCTTTGTTAATAGGAATCTCAAAATAGATTTCTTTCATGATTGCACAGATATACAAATACATATAGTGTCAAAAAATACTTTAGTCTATCAAATAATGAATATGAATATTTCACTATTGTGTTAAATATAACTGTAATTCTCTAAATCTTTGTGCACAAGTTATTGCTTATAATAATAAGGATTATGTTCTATGTTCTTTCTTTGGATAATGCATAATGTCATAAAATGGCACGTTTATATGTCGTTTCATATTTATGCCAATAATAAGAGTTAAAAAAGATTTGAGATTATGCATAAAAGAAAAAGTCATTGCAATATAAAAATTTTTAAATGTACAATATTAAAGTTTTAGATTTGAAGTATTAATCGCTTCAAACAATAGTAGTAAGTTTACTCTTACGAGATTCCATACCTTCGATAAGGCCAGTTAATAGATCTTCCATTTCAGTTGTGGCACGTTTTAATTTACAATTGTCATTGCCGTCGTACGATTCTACAAAAATTGCATATATGAATTAAATATATGTATATATACATTTGCATAACATGTGCCATAAATGTATCAAAATAATTTTATTATAAAATGATATATTTACGTATGTGAAAATCTAATACTCTCTGTATTTTTGTTTTTGATAATTAATGAAAACTTACCATCGAGCAAACAGTCATTAGCAACCATATTTTGCAGTCTATCTAATATATCATTAAGATCTCCTTGAATATTTTGCAAACTACTATGTTGCGAATGTTTATCAGGCCGTTGCAAGGAAGATGGAGTATTATCTCTATGAATGCCTGTAGGAGACTGAGAAGCTACGAGCGACGAATCATTATTTGCATTATTAATTGTTGCATTAGCCACATAATTATCTTTACAATTTGAATTGCCAGCAGCCAACCACTGAGAAAAACCACTGTCAGCTGTACTCAATTCTCTCCTTCTTCCTAAGGAGGAAGAAGGAGAGAATTTAATTCAACATGTATTTTCATAAATCTGTCTATCTGTAATTATTTTTAATCGCATCGATATACTTTATATTTACCTCCAATCCAAGTACTTAGTTCCATGCGACTGTTTTCTGATAAATTACCGAATCCAGAACTCGTAGAAGCTTCTTGGGTACAAGAAAGAGCATTGACGTCATCTTTCCTTTCTGTATGCTCTATTGTTGATGTGGTATTAAAATCCGGTGTCAATTTGTTTTTGCTGTGAAGTGTTTTTGGTTGATCTGTAGAGTCTTGCCTGATAATTGGACTCAATTCAAATTCAAGAGGCAATGCTGTAAGTCTAGATGTTAAAGGTGGTAACATTGGGGTGCTTTGCATACGAGTAATCTGTGGTACTTGAGTCACATCAGTAAATAAATATTTCTGCAAAAATTACAGGGTTAGTAAACAATGTCTAAGGAATCTTCGACTTAATATACCTTAAGCGTTTTTAGTCGCTGCAATTGAGATTCGATAGTTGCTCTATGACGTTGTAGCCTTTCTGCTTTGGTGCCTTGTATGTCGAGCAATTCAATTTGCAGTTGTCGATTTTCTTCTTCCAAATGCATTATAATACTTTGTAATTCCTTTTGCGGATCACTGAGAATCTTTCGTTTAACAGTACTCCTTACTGAACCATAATCTACACGTCTTATTTCGTTACTACATATAAAAAAAATTATCAAAAAATAAATATTGTATAATTATATACAAAATTGTAAAGATGCAATTTACACGAACCTGGTAACATCTGTAACTGGATCTTCTATTGGGATTGTTCTAGTAGGACACAATCTCAATTTATTTCTAATTAATTCAATAATCAGTTTTGTAACTTCTCGATGTGAAGTCTGCAAAAGAATTATTCTTGTAAGCAATTTAATTCACACGAAACAAGTTAAATAAACAATTTACCTTAACACAAAATTCACGAATTGGATGCTTCAACTTGTGCTTGTTTGACGTCTTGCCTAAGAGAAAACATTCTTGGCACTGATGGTATCCAGTGCATTTCAAACATGTATATCTTGGTCCCTGTACCGGTGTCACTTTACATGAAGAACATCTGATATTATGTACAACTGCAAAAAAAATATATAATTATGTTATATGTAAGTAATAATAATAATATAATAATAGTATAATAATTTTATTCTATCACTGACTATGTTCTGCAGATTTTATTCGATTGAATGTTGTTATCCAAACAAGCAGAGGAGGTTCCTGCATGATCCATGCAGCAAACTCTGCTTCAGTAATTCCAAGACCTCCTTGAGACTAAAATATGTTTTAAAAAATTATTTAAAAGCTTATTTTTAATAAAAATAACGAACACAAAATTCATTGTATTTAACCTTTACAAAACAGGCATCTATATGTGTCTGAATCTGTTCATATCCATACGTTATAGTTTCTCCAAGCATTTCTGTTATTTTACAGATATTTGTTAATAAGGTATGCAAACCAGCTCTAGATAAACATGCATTATGATCAGCTAGTTGCTGATACAAATATCCATACTTTTCTTGTAATTTACCATTACTTAATAATATCAATGCAACTTTAACTGAAAACACTAAAATATTTCCAGTATTTTGTCTGCAATATTAAATACAATTTCATATTTTATTAATACGTTCTTTCGTAATTATAAAATTATTTATTGTTGAGATTATAATGTATATATTTATAAAGATGTTTTAAAGTGTAGCAAAATTAATATATATTAATATTATTTATAGAGTATAAAGAAAGAAAGAAAAACAAAAACTCACTTGTCAAAAGTACTCAAAATGTAATTTGTAGCAAGCTTTGTTACAAAATCAACATCAAAATTGAAATTGCTTTCTTTTTGTGCCGCAAAATAAATATCAGATAAAACATCCTCGATCTCACTAGAGTCTAAATTAACACAGTTTTCAGTAATGGAAAGTCTATGACGTTCAAATACTCCTGCTATTAATTCCAATTGTACATATTGCACTAAAAATTAAATAAGATAGTTTATAAAATATTAATTTATTTTACAGAGAATTAAAAATCAATGAGAAACTTACTATTCAATTCTTTATGTAATATTTGCATCTTTGCAGCAGCTCTATAAGATGCGTAACGAATAGCATTGCATCCTTGCATAGATCGCATAATATTTTCCATGGTTGAATATTTATTCACTAATCACTCTTGCGAATTGCTATTTGTCTTTTATAAGTTTTCAAGTGTATAACTGTAAATCTGCCAATGATAATTTGGAAAATCTTTTTTATATTTCCAAAGCAATTATTTTTCTATTAATTCTATGTGTGTGTATTAAGACATAGATTTACTAAAATTAGATACTTTATGCAAGCAATACGTATTAGATAATCTTGCTTGTATACATTTGTTTATACAATATACATACAGCAAGTAAAATAATCTTATTTATTACTCCAATACAAGAAATTATGTTATAAAAAAATGTTAATATTAATTGAAAAAAAAAAAACATTGTATTTTACTTTTTATTAGCTATATAAACACAGACTGTAAAATATATGTATTTCTAATTAATTAAAAAATATAATCAGCTGTGATGTTAATTGTACAACAGAAATAATATACACATTAAATATGTACATAAAATTATAATAGATTATAACAAGTGTATTAGAGAACTATATATTAATACAGAAATTTGAAAAAAACTTACTCTTTGTCAGCTCAGCATAATTGGATAGTTTAAATATTGATGTAAACAACAAATTTACGTTTAAAGCATAGATAATGAAACATATATAGATATCCAAAAATGTTGTAAAATACAAGTATTTACTAGAAGTTGATTAAAAATCGAAGCTAATATAGATTGACCAATCAGAACGAAAAGAATAAAGATTTCTTTGTGTTGATTGGTTGATTAAAATTTTGTGATTATGATGATTCGAATCGTTTGTGATATCAAATGGAACGCACGCTTTGACATATATATATATATATATATATATGATTATTTCATACGTTTGCGTAAGCACATGTTAGAGCAAAATATTGAAATTAACGAATATATTAAATAAGTTGTTCAAAAAGAATATTAATCATGTCAGAAAAATTCGAAGAAGGCCAATTTAGCGACGCCGAAGAGGACGAAATACCTTGCATGTAAATATATTTATATCAATATATTTGATTCTCAACAAAGTATTAGGAATAAAATCATTTTTATTTATTAATCTAAAAAAATTCATTAAAAAGATTGAAATTATTTAGAAATTTTTATAAAATTCCAAATCTTGTGTATTTTTTTAAAGAAACTATAATTATATTTTATTTTTTTGTAGACAGAACAAAGTTAAAAATACATCCACGTTTGATATGTATTCGCATGCACCACTCGAGGAAAAAGTAGCCAATTTGGATATCACATGTGATAAAGAGACCAATATTGAAGATAGTGACAATGATGATTATTATTGTAACAATGATTATGATTTGTATGAAGAGAAAGACAAGAATGCTGTTGTAAAAACGAGTTCACAAAGATTCAACACTCAAGAAGCACCCACTAAGGTAACAAATTATCAACCAAAACATAAATTGTTGACTCGCTATGCGAATAAGATTAATTTAGAGAAGTATGCGAGTTCATCATTACCAAACCATGTAGCCAATGTATTGATGGAGAATGACAAACGTGTTGACAAAGATCGCATAAGGATGAAAGATAAGAGCGATCACGCGACGACTGAGAATGTATTGGATTCGCGTATCAAGAAGAAACTGCACAAATTGTTTGAAAGAGGAGTGTTAGCGGAGATAAATGGTTGTATCTCAACTGGAAAAGAAGCTAATGTATATTATGCCAAGTCGAAAAACGAAGACGAGATTGCTATAAAGATATATAGGACATCCATCCTGACATTTAAAAATCGGGAAAAGTATATTAGGGGAGAGTATCGTTTTGATCATGTATACTCTTTGCATAATCCGCGCAAAATGGTGAAAATCTGGGCGGAAAAGGAATTCTCTAATTTGAAACGCTTGGAACAAGGTGGTGTCAGAGCGCCACAGCCCATTTTATATGGTGGTCACATGTTGTTGATGGAATTTCTGGGTTCAGACGGCTGGGCGGCGCCTAAACTAAAGGATGCTACACTTACAGAATCAAAAGCAAGAATGTTGTATAGAGAGTGTATCGAAATTATGTGGAAAATGTACAATAAGTGTAGGCTTGTTCACGCTGACTTGAGCGAGTATAATATGTTGTATCATAATGGATCAGTTGTAGTCATTGATGTTTCACAGGCAGTAGATCGTGATCATTGTAATGCAATTGAATTTCTAAGGAACGATTGTAGCAATATTACAGGTATGATAAAGACATTTTATTTTCATGTAGTTAAAAGTATCTATTTTTAATATATTTGTATATTTTTTGCAGCATTTTTCAAAAAGCACAAAGTAGGAGTTATGCCACTTCAATCACTATTTGATTTCATAACAGACCCAACTATTAATGAAAAAAACATGGATGAATATCTCGATATCCGGATGCAAGAGGCAAATAATGAAAATGATCCACAGCAGCAAATAGAAGAGGCAGTTTTTAAGCAAGCTTACATTCCTCAAAGATTGACTCAGGTATCATCGATTACTACAAGTTCATGTAATGTATAATTTTCATTTATATAAGGAAATTTCTGAAAAGATACAAACTTTTATTCTGTATATTTTTCTATAGGTGGTCAATGTGGAACGTGATATAAATCTTGCCAAATCTGGACAAGACTTAATTTACAAGACATTAATTGGCTTGAAAGCAGATTTATCTAAGCCTGCGGAAACACCCGAGATCCTAGCTAACAAACACAAGAAAAGTAACAAAGATGTAGAGGAAGAAAGCGATACTTGCTCTTCTTCTGAGGGTAGCGATAATTCCGATAGTGAAAACGAGAGCGAGAATAAAAGCAAATTTGTAAATTCGGCTAGACCCAGAAACGAAAGCCCGGATAGTAAAAAAGTAAGATATATTATTTATTCTTTCTTTATATAGATGTTACTGTTTTAACTTTAAAATTTTTTAAAATTCAAATTAGGCGCGTAAAAAGGCGGTCAAAGAACAGCAAGCGGAAAAAAGGAAAACTAAAGTAAAGAAGCACGTAAAGAAACGTAAAATAAAAGTATCAAGAGGGGGAAAATAAATAAATTTGTATAAAAAAGGATATGTGGAGAAGAAAGATTACAATGTGTATTTCACATTTATAACAATTTATGATAATGAGTTAAATGTTGTTTTTACAACATAACGTAAGCATATTTTTTAAAAAAGTATTAAAAAAATTGTACGTCAATTTAAAGGATGTTCAAGTAAAATTTGACTTGTATATAAAAAATATATACGTAACACTTCAGCAACATAATATTATAGAGACTTTTTTTTCCTGGTCATTCTGTAATATATTTTTCTTCATAAGCAGAAGATGGCGCTATGATTGTCAAGAAAACGATTACTCCATCATACTATCTAACATTCGATTTATTTCGTGATATATTTTATTTTAAAAACTAATTGTTCGAGTTATAATTTATCAATAATAATGTAACAGTGATATACGTACAGAATCAAAATGGTTTAATATGAATTTAAGAACAAGGCATATATGAGAAATACATATACGCTCCGATATGAACATGAATTCATATGTCAAAGCATTTAATGTGTAAATATTCAATACATAAAAAAATGAGCTTCAAACTCGATGATTTGCAAGGTATTGTTAAAAAATAATGAATCTTTTTTATGATTATTGAGAATAATGTATATACACACACGTTTATGTTCATGCATAAAATGATTTTTATTATATGTTAGTGACAGACGCAGCCGCTATTAAAGAGAAATTTCTCACAACCGGTTGTTCAGAATTGGACGTGATATTAAAGGGCGGTATACCTTGTCGGGGTATCACGCAGATTTACGGTGCTGCTGGCACTGGAAAAACACAGTTGGCTTTGCAGTTGTGTCTCTCTGTTCAACTGCCAGTAACCGCGAACGGTCTTGCAGCTGGTAATCAAAAGTTTGAAATATAATATGTTAATTCAGAAAACATGCCAAATAAGTCTCTTTATGTAGTTTTGAAACTTTATGTCTTTTCTAAATTCTTGATAAATAACAAAAATCAAATAAATGTCTTAAATAACTTTTTGTATTTTTTTTTTTTTAATATAATATAAATTTTAACCAAATTTGTAAAGAATAATAATTTTCTATTATGCCTTTTCTCTTTTTTTTGGTCAATTTTTTCAAATATTCATAATACTGTGTGAATTAAAATACATGTATGATGGAATACATTGATGTTAACAGGTGCAATATACATTTGTACAGAAACTAGTTTTCCATCAGAAAGGTTGCAACAATTACTACAGAATTCAGAAATAGCTAAAACTCATTCTGTGAATGGAGATGTAATATTCGTGAACCATGTAGCCACCACTGTAATTATACTACTATAAGAGATATATTAGAATTTATTATATATTTTTATATTTGAATATATATATATTTTTTATTTTAATACATATATTTAAAAAGTTTACATTTAATAATATAATTCTAATAATAATTATATTCGTTTTTTTTAAAAACATCAATGAGGCTTTACATTTTAACTTATTATACATACAATTGATATATATATATATATATATACTATGTTAAAGGACGAATTAGAACTATGTCTGCAACGTCAAGTCCCAGCGCTGATGAATATTCATAAAATAGGATTATTAGTCATTGATTCAATAGCAGCCCCTTACAGAGTAGAAGATTGGAAAGATCAGCTACAAGGCAGAAGTAAAAGGAATGTTGGAAGACAATTACACCAACTTTGTAAAAATAATGACTTGTGTGTAATCTGCATTAATCAGGTAAAGAAATCTTAAAATATTTATTATAACAGATATACAGTATTAATTTTTATATCTTTCTAGGTTTCTGCAGTTATAGATAATCATAGTATTATATCTGAAAATGCAATTGAACAACCAGCTTTAGGATTTACTTGGTCAAGTATGATCACTTCTTCTATACATTTTTACAGAAGAAATTCTAAACGATATGCTTGCATAATGCTAGCTTCGCACTTACCAAGAATTACTTTTCAATTCATGGTGACCAAATCTGGAGTCAAAGTGGCTCAATAAATCTGTGTATCATATATAACAAAAATTCTTAATTTTATTCCATATATTTACTTATATCGTGAAATATATTTTCATTTAATATGTTTATTACATTTGTTACTTTATAATCAGACAATATGGAAGCATTAAATGGATCTATTGTTCTTACATCTATATTTTCAATATTATCACAGTTTAATATTAACCTGAAAAGTACAGGACATTAGTAAAATAATTATGTAATTCAAATAACAAATTTCTATAGAAATTTTACCTGAAAGAATGAAGATAGGTTCTATGAGGCTGTATATCTTTGCCATTACTATACGTATAATCTCCTATAATTGTATGACCGATATAATGACAATGTACTCTCAACTGATGCCGTCTACCTGTGCCAGGTGCTAGCAATATTTTAGTAGCAGGTTTGTTTTTCCAAAATCCATATTCCAATACTACTAGTACAGTGTAAGAGTTACGTGGCTTTTCACAAAAGATACTCTCGCTTGTACACATTTATGATTGCCATTCTTTTCACGTACATCATTACCTAGTTAAAGAAAAGATAAAATCAAATCCTTTGCCTATTTTTATCTTGTTCCAATATTATATTGCATTCTATTATTTTAGTTGCTTACCAATAGGCTTGTCAATTATGATGTAAGGTTTGTGTATATGACCGTGTACCAATGCCAAATAAAACTTTTGTACTTTTTGATTCTCGAAAGCAAACGATGCTGCTCTGGCTGCCGTTTTATTTAATGCTATACACATGATGCCACTTGTAGGATAATCCAGTCGATGCACGAAATAAAATTCATGACGCAGTTTTGGGTTAACCAAGTCCGGCAGCATTTCTCGCAGTTTTAACTGGAGAGTATTCTGAAAACATAATATTTGATTAATATGAGAATGCTTTATGTGTGCACGTCAAACAGGTATGTCCTCACTTTTCTGTCAGGATTATTACTATTTATATACATGTCGTAGGGCTTATCGACTATTAAAAAGTTCTCACTCCGATGCACAATTTTGACAGATCTACATTTATTGTTCCAACTGTTAATTAATTTCTCGGTATGTCGTTGTATTAAACGAATTATCAAATATGTGAGATTACAAATGATCAAAATGCACGCGTATAAAAATCTATTAACGTTTATTCTAACCATTGTAAAGTAAGATATTATTTATTTTGACTCGATGATGTTTCCACTTCGCGGCCATTTTATCCAGATAGAAATGTCAAGAGGAACGCAACATATGATGCACATGCACATATATGCAGTATATTAAAAACATACATATATATTAAGTACATACATTTATGTAATTATATATTTATATATGTATGTGTGATAGATATTTTTTAAATATTTATATAAATATATAAATAAATCTTATATAAATTTTATATAAATTATATTTCCTTTACGTTACCTATATGACGTGAGATTACTTTTAATATCTCGGACATGTGGATAAACATAGAATTCTGTGAATTATGCATTAATATATTCTCACGTGCGAGACTGTGCGATATAATATATATAACAAGGCGATGTACTGCAAGGATGCGCGAGAGTGCATAAGAATCGCAGAGAGAATGTATATGCAGGCGTCTCTGCATGGAGAACTAAATACAATTTTTTTTGTGATTGAAATTACTAAGTGCATTTTTACGTATTTAAGAAAAATATCTAATGATGCATTTTTTTATAAAAAAAATATTACAAATTATATTTTTTCGAAAAAAAATATATATTTATATTTCACGATATAAAATTTTTCATTTATATATATATATATATATATATATATATATACACATATATTTATTTATATATTTATTTATTATATATTCTTATTGTCAGTGAAAGACTACAGTAAAATATGATCGTGATTAAAATTTAGCGTGAGAACTTTTTAGCATTGCATATCACGCGGATAATTGATGACGATCGAGGCGCAATGTAGAAATTTGTATGCTAGTATAAAACGACTAGTACATAAGCGCGTTCTCATTTACACAGGTGACACAAAGCCCGTAGCGAGAGATATGTATCTAGAGAAGAATCGTGTTCCATACAAAACATCTCTCGACATGTATTCGCACAGGGGGATTGCGTCCACCATAACTGCAATATAAAATGTAATCGAACGATCGAGCGGACGAAAGCAGAATATATAAAGTATGCTTTTACTTATTTATATGATACTTTGTTTATTTTATACTATCGTAGGGAGATAAAGAATATAATTGAATTAATTAATGATGTTAGAGATAATTATATCTATGTAAAGATAAATATCTCTCTTTTTGTGTGTGTGTATCACGTACACGTTACTAAAATTAATCAAGAATGAATTCAGAAATAAAATTACTTGCGTTTAATATAATTATGTTAAATCTCGAATCATATTGATATAATATTTCATCATTATTTACAGACATCCAATTTACAGGTAATTCTGATTTACATATCACACGACTCGAATTTGAATTAATCAGAATAATATAAATTAAAATCAAATCGTAAATTGAGAGAAAATTAAGTGCCTCTTATAATTATTTTAAACGTATAGTTGCATACTTACTGCTCTACATACCTATATGATATATGTATATATCTTGTTCGGGAAAATTTGTGCAATCCGTAGCACTCGTATGCAGATGATGGCAGCGCGGTAAGCTAGATGAGACAGAGATACATTATGCAAGTTTGCGTCACGCGGGTTTGTTGCATCAGCTCTACGCGCGGACGGAGAAGCCGCGATGTTTAGGCTTCCTATAATTGGAGGACATTTCACGTGCACGTCAACAGCATCTTAACGCGTCGATCACGGCATTAAAGCCTTTCTTCTGATTCCCCTGCAAATGGAATAAAATTATCAGATATTGAGCAATGGAACGTATAGTTATATGCATGTCATACTCAATTAAGTACGATAGACATTGTATTATATATATATATATATATAGGTTTCAATTTTATATTATGCAACTTTTGTATTAATAATAAAAGTTCTTTTGTACATTTTTGTTTGTCACTTGATAAACTATTACATTGATATCATTATGCGGCTTCTCAGTTCTTACGTTCTTAAGAATTGAAGAACATGTAGTTAACATGTACATTTCTTATAATTTTTTTTTACAGAGGTGATATGTCAAAGATTGTTAAATTGTCTCGCATGGAGCGAGACAATTTAAAGACGTTTAAGATGATTACGATTCGAGTTAACGATTCGCCGGTGCAACACCGACTCGGGAATCGCGAATCGAAGAGATATAGAGCGCGAATCTGCTCGTGATTACGCTTACTTGTACATCGATCTGGCTCCCTTTTCCATCGTCACCGTCGATTCCACGCGGCATCTCGTGACACACTTGCATCGAACTGTTGCTGTAAATCTTACCGATTGCACCAAACTATGATCTAGAAACGCGGATGAGACCCGGGATATATAAAGAGCGAAGCGGACCCCATGTTTGTCATTCCCTCGAGACTATCCCGTGCTAGGGTAGCAACGAGAGCAGGGAGAACGACTCTCTCTCGGAGGGATAAAGTAACAAAAATTTGTTTTTTTCTGCCGCTAGAAAACATCGAGTATCGTCAATATGCTTAAGGTGAGAAGAAACGATAAAGGTATATATGTATATATTTCTATTCTAGTGCTCGTAAAATTTGGAATTTGAAATTAATACATTTTTTTAGATTTTTTTTCGAATTATATCTGTTATAATTTAGAAATATTTATCAAGAGGAAAAATCAATCAAGAGTTCATAAGGATACATTTTTATTTTTGGTGTCAATAATCAAGTGTTAGAATTATCGACAACTCTATAAATATAATTCATAAATAAATATTTTTTGATGGATGTAATTAAGATTCTCTCAGCAAAAATTCATACAAAAGTGTTTACGTAATACATTATAAATTCACTTTATCGAGATCAATTTACGACATAGTAAAAATCATCAAATTTCGAAACATAGAACATATTTGAAAAATAAGAAAAATGTTCTGTAATTAATTATCTTTTCATACAAAAGAAAAAGAGATTATATTTAATATTTTAATATTTGCGAAATCAATATTACTATTATCTTTTATTACAGATTATATGATACCAAAATTTGTAAGTGTTGCACGAAATTCTTATTACAGATTGCTATAATGACGTTTATCACGATGCTGGCGACGACGCGTTCGGAACCTCCGGTCAATTCGTATCTACCTCCACGAACAGGAACCTCTGGTGCGAATGGCGGTCAAGCCGACCTGTCTACTCAGTACGGGACGCCGAATTTTGGTAACGGAGGTAGTGTTAATAGAAACGGTGGTGCAACAAGTTTCGGCAAGCCTGGTGATAATGGCGCAGGTAATGGTCCGTCGAAGCTTTACGATACACCCGGAGGAAATGCCCGCGTAAATGGTCTAGGTCAAGCTCGAGGAAACGAATTTGGGGATGGACAACCCTCTAGCTCTTACGGTGCTCCTTTTGGGGATTTTAAAGAAAACGGCGGTAATGTGCGACCATCGAACAGCTATGGAGTTCCTATTGCGAATGGACACAACGGAGGTGGTTTTCGAAACAGCGGCAATGGAGGGAAACCATCGATTAATTATGGCGTACCTGATACGAATGCGAACAACGGAGACGGTTTTAGGAATCGAGGTAATGGAGAAAGACCCTCGACTAACTACGGTGTTCCTGGCGCGAATGGAAACCATGGAGGTGGTTCTTCTGGTAGAAACAATGGTAATGGAAAGCCTTCCAGTAGTTATGGAGTACCTGCAAGTGAAAATGCAAATGATAAAAATCGCTTCAATGGCGGAAATAATGGTGGAAAATTGTCGAGCAGTTACGAATCTCCAAATGTACCTAAAACAAACAACGAAATAAACGGATTCGGCAGTAGCAATGGAGGAGTATCAAGCAGTTATAGTCCACCTAATAAAAACGGACATGGGAACAATGGCTATCCATCTGAAAGTCCAGCCAGAAATGGAGGAAGTTTCGGAAACGGCGCTGCTAATGGTTATCCATCTGGAGGAAGTGGACACGCAGGAAATTTTGAGAACGGCGGTGGAAGTTTTAAAAACGGAGGAAGAGGAAACGAAGGTTACAACAACAATGCACAGGAAGAAAGCAACGTAAACATATGTTATTAAAATAATTAAGTATATCAAAGACCAATATGACATAATTAATGCAAGACGAATCACAAAGCAATCTTCAAAAATATTGATCCTCTTTTAATAATATATTCCTATATATTAAATCATATTTATTTTATGATGTGTATTTACAGGTCTGTTCTTTCACTTTCAGGAGCCAGCAAAATATGAGTTTTCTTACGAAGTGAAGGACGAACAATCCGGCAGCAATTATGGCCACAAAGAAACTAGAAACGGTGATCGCGCTCAAGGCGAGTTCAACGTTTTACTTCCAGATGGTAGAAAACAGATTGTCGAGTATGAGGCTGATCAGGATGGATTTAAACCGCAAATTAGATACGAAGGCGAAGCAAATATGGGTGGAGGATATAACTCCGGTGGGCCGAATGGTAACGACGGCGGTTATTCTTCTGGTAGACCAGATAGCAAAAGCGGCGGCTTTACAGATAACTCGGGATTTAATGGAGGCGGTAGTAATGGTTATCCAAACGGTGGTCCAGGCGAGGGAAAGTCAAATGGATTTAATGGAGGAGGCAGCAATAGTTATCAATCGGGAAAATCAGGTGCGATAAGATTATGATTCCTCGTTTTTCATTCTTCGACACGAATAACAAATGGCAATTTCGAAAGATTTATCTTATGTTAAAGAGTTTAACTTTTGTAATAAATGTAATTAGATTATATCTATTTACACGTTAAATCCCCCATATATTAAAGAACATATTTTTAATGTAATTTTTTAGTAATTTTATATGTAAGACATTAAATATGCTACAATAATTAATTTCTCTGTTTTTTCTTTAAATAAAATAATTTGAAAGAGAAAGTATATATAATTTTTATAAAAGCAATAAATTATGCTACATATATTTTAATTAAATATATATATATATTCTATCCGTTTTTGTTAAACTTCTGGTTGATAATTCTTTTATTTATTTTGTAGCAGAACAATCCTTTAGCCAAGCTAAGGATAGTGACTTGAGTGGCAATATTGGTGGATACTTCTCCAATGCTCCTAGCAACAACATCGGTGGCAACGCGGATATCGAAAATAGCAGACAAAATGGTAATGGTGGATATCAATATTAAAGAACATATATAATTGAATAGAATTAAATAGTCTTATCTTGTTTTTGAAAAAGGAATTTTAAAAGAGGATAAAGAAATGAATAAACAAATTTATTTCTTGTAAAAATTTATCTATATATTTGTGGCAGAGGATATGGAAAACTCTCTTATAACTTATGAGATTTTTTTATCATTTTTCCACAAAAAATGATAAATTTATCAGAATGTGATCTAAATAATTATTAAATTTTTCAATCATAAAATTCACGAATTATTGATATTTATTATTAATATCGCACTATGTGTTCATAGCATGATTTATTTAAATCCATGTAGTAGTTTTTAGTTTGAGCAAAAGAATAAATGCATATATAATCGATATAGATAAGAATTTTCCCTTCAAAATAAAATAAAATATTAAAACTTAATAAATTTAAATCGTAGATTCAAACATTAACAGATCGCACGCAATTGTACCGTATAGAAAAATTTTCTCTCTTACGTCAAATTAATTTCACACTTCCGCGACGAGGGTGTTTAAGGGCGCGCGACTTAAGAGTCTCTCTTGTTGTTAGCGCATTCGTACGATAATAAAGACTAACGCGGCACATACACACACAAAAAAAACGCAGCAGATGTATAATTACGCAGCTCCGTATCCGGCTTGCGTTATATCGTGCGACTCGTTTGCTCGGTCGCCGACAGGAAGTCGAGGGCCCAGTCCACGTCGTCACGTGTGAATCTTCAAGTGTTAAAATGCGTGTTGCACCGATTATGCAGTTTCCCAAACGGTTCCCGCGGTATGCCGGTGCCTCGACGATCGGACACCGGATCGTAAAAGATAAGGTATAGAAATCACTTTTGATTTCATTGGTGCTGAACTAACCCGAGCGCAACGGTGCGAAATGAGATCCGGTCGATCCGGAAAGATAAAAATAAAATCCATATCTAGAGGCGTGAAAAATATGTGTGTAACTGCGATGTTTAATCTACGATTATTGTGTATTGCAAAAGGAGAGATTAGAGTTCGAGATTATCTCTATATATATAAACCTCTATATATATAATTTGATATGAGATATATATGTAAGAGTTGTGTCTTATTCCTTTTAAAATTTATTTATTTAAAAATCTTGAAATATTTGTTTCGGCACCTTTTTTATTTTTGTAAAAATATTCTATATACACAGAGAGAATTTTCTCTTAGAATTTACCCTGAAAATTATGATAATCGTAGGGCAATATGGTATTGGAAAAATTTTATAAGAGTTTCTTTGATTGATATATTTTTTTCATAATAAAAATATTAATATCTACCACAATAAAATATAAAATATATTCGATCAATTTTAATATATACATATTAATATTTTTTATTGTGATAAATATTAATCAGAGCTCTCATAAAATTCTTCCAATATTATTGTATATTATATATTTTATTTTTCTAAAATTTAATAAATTCAGATTTACATATATAAGAGATGAAATATATTTTGGTTGTAATACTATTGTGCACGTTAGCGGTGAATTAACGTGTCGCAGCGTGAAATTCTTGGAGCATTGAAAGCGGAGCGCGACACATCGGTAATATTTCATAATTAGTTGCGATTCAATTTGTACGACGACGAGAGAGATACGTCGTTGCGTGCGTATGCGTATAGACGCACGCGCGCAAATGCGTATAAATATAGCCGGTGCAACCAGGAACAAGAGAAACAGGTTTCAGCTATACGGTACCGTAGATCCTTAAGGCATCATTGAGCGAATGGTAAACCAGCTGCGCCCGTTGCTCGGGATTTCACTGTAAATGTCAATCTACGGCACGTAAAACGTCCCACCGATTTAAAGGAAAGTCGTTCGGCCGAGCCGTTGCACGATTGCGAAGGGATGGAAGACGCGAAGAGAGGGTGTCCATTCAACGACACACGCCCCTGGAGAGTCTTTCGCAATCACCTCCCGACCGAAGAGAAATCCCAGCAGAAAAGTGTTGGCGGAGAATCATCTGTTTCTCGTTAATCTTTAAAGAGCGTACAGAGTGTCCCGTACTCAGTGAATCACTGATTAACAGTATAGATTCCTGATGTCATTTGGGGACTATTTTTCCGCAGCGAAAATGTCGAGGTACCAATTAAACAAAATCACATTCTTTAGTTAATTTTCAGGAAGTGTTTATTTCAATAGAATTTTAATTTGAGGCTTACAATTAGTTACAAAAAAGATACATCGTGGCAAAAATTGGGAACATGTAAAAAATGATGACCTCTTTCTCGACATTTTCGCTGAGGAAAAATTTCCTCTGTATAGCATGTTTCTAAAAAACATCTCAAAAAACATTACGAAAACAGGAAATAAATATATAATAAATTAATAGTCGGATGATATTCGTAATTTTTGATCAATAAATTAATTTTATATATGAGATAATAAATTAATCTACGAATATACAGTTAAGGGTATCGATAGTAAATTGTAATTGATACCTATAATGTGAAAAAAAACTTGAGCTCTCGAGCTCTCTTTTAGCACAGATGATCCTTGATTATTTTAATTTCGAAGGATGAAAAACATTCTTAGAGATGTTCTTAGAAAAAAAAATTGGCGCGTCGAAGCAATGTAACCCCGTTACGCTTAAATAGAGATATTTATCGGGCACATTAGAAAGTTCCGGACTTTATGAAAGTACATGAGCTCAAAGCATCGTTAATTACCGTTGCTGTGTGAGTGCGAAGTGGTCTAACGCGTGCGAAGATGCTAAAAACCGCCCTTGCCACTGAGGATCGGTCTAATTATTTTACAGTACTGTGAAAATTATCAGATCAATACAAAATAATTTCACGTTCTATCGTTCTTCCTAGTAAAAGCCTTTAAATATTTCATCTGCAAAATATCTCCTCATTTCTCTATAGCTATATAATTATGTAAATTAAGAAAGGTTATTTCTTAATGTCTCTATTGCAATCTCTATAACATTTATTATTATAATGTTCAACACCATGAAAATGTTGATGCGAGTATTCAAAGAAACATTTATTAATATTATCAATTAAAATTTTATGAGGACTTAGCTAGATTGTGAAATAATGTTCGTTTGCGAAAATGAGAATGTGAATCATTTTTGAAAAATGTACACAGAGAGAATTTTCTCTTAGAATTTATTCTGAAAATCATGGTAATCGTGGGACAATAAAGAGTTTTATAAGAGTTTCTCTGATTAATATTTACCACAATAAAAAATATTAATATTTAGGTATCACAATAAGTCATAAAATAATTATGTTCCATTAATATGTACGTAGTAAATTTTAATATTTTTTATTGTGGTAAATATTTAATCAGAGAAATTTATAAAACCCAATACCATATTGTCCCACGATTACCATGATTTTCAGGGTAAATTAAGAGAAAATTCTCTTCGTGTACTCGAAAGTTGCATATTTTAATTCTTTTTTCGTAGATGTTATATTTTACATCTAAATCGTCACAGCATGAGAAAATGATTCTATTTAGAAAAATGAGTTGGAAAAATGATCTGGTTTTGTCCAATAACTTTCGCAGTTCGATTTACGCGATGCTACGACCTGTTACCGGGCGCACTTATATATGGATGTTTTCGGCCATATTCGGCGATGCGTCCAGAGAGTCCGGGCATCTTTACGGCCCAGGACCTGCCGGTAATCTCTGACCATTCTCTCTCTTTCTCTTTCCGCCGTCCCCGCACTTCCCCCTCTCGCTCTTCTCGAAACGTAATCGTTTTTGCAGCCGGTCCGGTTCTTGGCGTCACCGACCTACCGGAACGCGTCGCGTCGGCCTCGAGAGCACGATGTCCGTCCGACTAGGACCAGAAAGGACAAAACGGACATTCGCGCGGAAATTCCGCCGCGATCCCTCGCCAGGATGCATTTGTGCACCTGCAAGTGTCAATGAATTCAGGAATACAAAGATACAGTTCTTTTCATCCTCCTCGCTTTCCGAAATTCGCGAGATGAAATCTTTCGTGAGAGAGCGCATCTTTCTTCTTCCACAAGCTTTATAAGTTTGCACTTTGCTCGAGATAAAAATATAAAAACAATTTGAATGAAATGTAACGATATATCTCTAATTACTAAATACTTTAGTTTTCAGAGAGAAATCTATCAAGATTCCACGCAATACTGGGAATCGTGAGGAAGACTATATACTGAAGGGACGCGACTTCTTCCTTGGCAACAGTTGAAAATTGTGTTACTAAATTTAGATCAATATTGGAGACGTGGAAGAAGGTACAGACCCTGAAATATCTATATACGCACATTTCGTTCTGCAATTCGATTTCTATACATATACATATAAATATTCGAGAAATTCGCCGGAATAAATTCGCTCCGCCATATCGTCGCGAGCTATTTCTCGAGATGAGGATCCATCCCTGCGAGCGGGTCTCTCAAACCGGGTGACTCCTCGTAAGAGGCGCAGGACAACGTATCGAAAGAAAAATCCAAAAATATCTTCAGGACCCGTTCGCGCGATTCCACGCGAAGCGCAGGAGAGAGAAGAAGAGATCCTGCATTGGGGCAGACAGAAAGAAAGAAAATAAGAGAGAGCAAGAGGATGATCCCTACTCTCCGTTCGGAGAGGAGAACCCCACCATGCACGAATGGCAAAACGCACGCAGCGAAGGGGTAGAGGACGAGATAGCGAGAGACAGAGACAGATCGAAGGAGCGAAATGGAGAGGAGAGGCGCTGCTTGCTCGTTTTCGGAACAGGGGAGCCAGTTTCTCGCGTAGCTGCTCGCACAGCGGCAGTCCGCGGCGGCATGCGGCATCGCGCCTGCCGTGCGTATCTCTTCCCTTCAGTATGAAGCCGACGATCGTGCCAGCTGCAGCGGCTGCACCTGCCGCAACGTCTTGCGCGACCACCGTGTTATTGTCTACTCGTCGCGTCGACGTTCCTCATCCTGATCAGTGAACGTTACAGCACCACCAGACCTCTCCTCGACGGGGATCGTCTCCGTAAAAGCGGATCGATTCGCCGGCCCAGCCGGAAGGGGAGCCGCCGATCGTTGACACTCTTTCTCTTCTCGCCGAAGAGCGCCGAAATTCGCGGAGATTACGCTCTCGTGCACACGTGTCCCGCCCAAATAGACAGAGATAAGTAATCGCGCGTGTGCATCATCCCCGGTAAATGGTTAAAGACGCCGGCGAGTTGCGTTGTCGCGTGTGAAACTGATGAAACGGCGCGGCTCGAAGGAGACCGGCTTATTGGACTGACAAAAGTGAAAACACTCGTCCTTCGATCCCGTTCAACGTCCCCGTGATATCGGACCCTGTTCGCTGATAACCTTGGTGCTAATTAGACGAGAGCGGCTTGGCTTCCCACCGGATAAGGCGACGATCGTCGCAAGGTGAGTTTTTGATTGAAGAATCGAGAGCGATTAGACCTCATCTCTCTTTCTCGCGACAAGCGAGATCGCTTCTATCAATACTACTTAATGTCAAAAAATTTTGAGGGATTACATATTTTCATTTTCAAAGATTACGCGTTTGTTTTTTTTTTTAATTAATTTTTCATTTTTAATTTAAATTTCATATGATTTAATAACGTGATTATATTTAGCTTGGTTTCTCAAAATTATCATTAAAGTCTTTATTTTTAGATCTATTATTTTTTATCTCTTATGTTTATGTTAATAAAATTTTATTTTTTAATATGTAAAGAAGATTTAGATTTATTTAATATTTTACATATTTTAATAAGATATATAAATAAAATAAAATATGTACACGGAGAGAATTTTCTTTTAGAATTTATCCTGATGAAAAATTAATATGTATATAGTAAATTTTATTATGTACATAGTAAAATTAATCGAACATATTTTACATCCTATTGTATAGTAGATTATTAATATTTTTATTGTAGTAAATAATAAACCAGAAACGCTTTCATAAAATGTTTCCAATACCATATTGTTCCACGATTATTATAATTTTCAGGATAAATTCTGGGAAAAAATTAACTCTGTGTAGAAACAGAATAATTCTAACGGGACGTATTGAAAAATGAAATGAATATATTACTATAGATAAATTAGATGTATGTACATATATATACAGAACGATTAGAACTAATTAAATCTGCTTGGATATACTTCTATCTTCAGCTATGGAATTTATTCACCGTTCCATTGAAATGATCATGATTATCGTGCTGAGATTTAATTGGCAAATCGATCAAAGAACTTGTTTTTCAACTTATTTGAAAAATTCCCACATGTAGTAAGAATTTTAATTTTATATCGTCTAAAAAAAATCTTGACGATTCTGCACGCTTGCACGATAACGTTAGCAATAATAGCGGCGAGCCGAGCGCTTTATTAAAGCCAAATCGACGAGAGATACATAGTCTTTTGAATCCCTGAGAACCCGGATGATTTACCGCGTCATCTCGTCACGACAAGATCGTCCCCGACGATTTATTCGGCGGAGGTCGACGGTCTCCTTTTCCACGCGAATCGACGAGAGGCCTGTCGCGACCTCGACCTCGGGAAATAACGCGGAATTACCATCCCGGATAGTTCAAACGATCAGGAATAATGTAACGTGGGACCCCGAGAAAGACCAGAGAGACGATCACTGGCCCGTTGTATAGGTAGTCTCAACAATTCTCGCTAATGTGTTGCATTAATCGCGAACTAGTCCCTCCTTTCTCTCTCTTTTTTTCTTCTCTCTCGCTTTTCCTTTTAAAATGTTTGGATCACGTTACGCAATGTGGAATTAAAAGTGATTTTATTAGGTTCTACAATAATTTTGTAGCGTTAATCGCGAACCAGTCCCTCCTTTCTCTCTCGTTTTACCTTTTTAAAAATATTTGGATCACGTAACGCAATGGAATTAAAAGTGATTTTATTAGGTTTTACAATAATTTTGTAGCAATATGCGCAAAGAGATTAAATTAAAACCACGAAAGTTTCATTCTTGAATTTCTTTCGGTCTTTCATTGTAACGCAATTTTTTTGATTACAATTAGATTGCTACACATTTCCTGAAAGTTATATTCTATATCTGGAGAGAAATCGTCTTTAGCGCTCAATCAACTCTGCCCTATCAAATTACCATCTTTTTATTAAAACCGAGAAGATGGGAAGATAAAATGATGAGATTATCGCGATGTAACAGACTCCAATTGATTTGCGCAATTCCAATTTCGTCGCGGTTTCTCATCAGCCTCCGGTGCAATATCGTCTAACGTTTCGTTTTCGCGATCCGTTCTCCGCCCGTTGTTTCACGCGCGCATCGTAATTAAAGTTGCGTCGCAACTCGTCTTGAGCGACATAGCGACGGTGCCGGCGTCTTTTCCCGGAGAAGAGAGAGGAAGGAAGGCAACCGCGAGCGCAGTCATTAACTCCCGCGACACAATGCCGGGCAATTAAACCGGATTGTGTATGTCCTCGCTCGCGAGAAACTCGCTTAATCTAATTTCCATGGCAATCTACTTAATTATCTTGACGGGGTCTTGGACCTACGGTCACATTTCGCCGTCTAAAGGGTATCTCGGGAAAGCGACCTTTTCGTCGTGCACAATGCAAGCACGGGGCGTTTAGCGTCGTTAAGTGTCGATCGCGTGGGATATGAAAGCAAAATACCGTAATACGGTATATTGTACAAAAAAATTTATTAAAGGTAGAAAATGATAGGAAAAGGTCGCTATATAACGTCTCCTTTACGTAAATGCACTTTCCCTCTAAAAAACCTTTAAGATAAAATTATAGCATAATTTTTTCAGTGTTGAATAATGAATAAAAAAAATGAATATATAAAATAAAAAATTATATTTAATCCTCTTCTAGGACGTTTTGATTTGTTTAGCTTTTCTATGGAAAATCCATCGTGTTCACAGGCCTGTGAATTCATTCATACGAGAGAGTCGCACAAAAGTAGCACGCAAGCGGATAAAAAATATAAGTATATATGCGTAAATGCCTCACCTGCGAATATGCAGAGACAATTTAATGCGGTATTAATTGAGAATGTTTGACGCTCATATATATCGGCGCGACACAAATAAATTTCATATACGACGACGGTGACGTATTACAATGCGCCATCGATTCCCGTTTCGTGGATAACAGCTGTACGAAACGGCTGGCCAAACTTGTTTCTATTATCGTTTAATAATAATCGGCGATTTGTCTTCGCGGGAAACGGGACTATGCGCGTATATGGGCGAGAAACCGTGAAAATTGCGTAACGCTTGATTCAGGCGAATCGAATATAAATCCATGTACCGTTCGATGTCTTTTACGAAAGATTGGTAATATCAAGTGCAGCGTGCGTGTGTATTTATATTAATCTTCTTTCTGCAGAGCGATTAAAACACACGATTAATACGACAGATAACAATTTTATGTATTGCAAGAAAATTGACATATATGTATTGATAAAAAGATGAATACTCTGTTTTAATAATATTATATATATTTTACTCAAATAGTATCTTTAATCTTAAAAAATATATATGTATCGTATATATACAGAGAGAATTTTCTCTTAGAATTTATTCTAAAAATCATGGGTAATCGTGGAACAATATAGTATTGGAAGAATTTTATAATAAAAATAAATAAAAATATTAATATTTGCTACAATAAGATATAAAATTTACCATGTACATGGTAATATTTTTATTATTTTTATAAAATTATAAAATTTTTTTCCAATCCTACATATATTATTCCACGATTACAATGATTTGCAGGATATCAATTCTAAGAGAAAATTCTCTCCATGTATAGGTATAAACATTTTTTCTTTCATGATTACAATTGCATTCAAAGGAAAAAGCACACATATATATTTCTTTCTATCTCATCGCAAAATTTACATATACATAAAATATATTTATTGAAAACAAAACAAAATAAAAAAATGATGTATGTATTATACGCGATTGATTATATTGTAGTTAATAATTATTTATGGGATACACGGTATGAGAGATACGATGAACAGATATAGAAAACGGGGTCTTCGTGTTCGAAAACGATACACACAAGATCGTCTACGGCCGATCGCGACTAAGTCGATCGTTAAATAAGTCGATGGCCAGTCGAATCGCCATAAAGATTAAGTGCGCATTGCGGTAGCTAAACGTGAGCGTGGTCGGCGCAAAGAAAATTACATTTCGCACCGAGTACGTCGTTATACGCCAAGTCTTTTATCCCTAGCTCAAATCACCATTTGAGTCCTGTTTACAACGATTTCCGAGCTACAGTCAGACTATAATCGCGAAGTAAACTTCTCTCGCGTAATACGTCGCACCCGCGGGGCTCGAACGGATCGAAAGTGAGTCAATTCGGAGTTAAACGTGTATCTCAAGTCATTGAAATTGCGATGAAATTCGAGAAAAAAATTTTATATAATAATTTGCCTGCCGTAATATAGAAAATATTTTGTAGAAAAATGATAATTATATACGTATGAAGTCGAAACACATCATATTTCATGATGGATGGAAAATTTTCACAAATTAATCGAATATCTTTGTTGTAAGCTACATCATGACGATGATTGATGAAACAAGGTTACCATCGCGTTATTTATCGCCCGAATGATGTGAAATTTTGTGAAAATTTACGCGCAATTAATAGTTATATATTGGCAATTTGAACTTAATCGCGCGCACTTCTTAAATCGATTCATTTTATCCCATTTGAATTAATTACACGACAAAAGTAGGAAGCGCTCTTTCGAGACTTGTGTCAACCAAGATACTTTTTCGACAGACCGATTATACCTGATAATGTATAGTAAATCTGACGAGAGACGCGCGATTCCAGCGTGCGACCTTCACGAATGATCGGTTCTTGTCGCGCGTCCGCACACGCAGTTACGTTCGCCGTATTCTCGATTTATTTATAGTCGACCTTTAACAGTACTCTTACTTGGATATGTGTGGATATCTTTCATGTATCCCGAAGGAAAGTTGGATGGGTAAAAGCCCATTTTACCGGGCGCAACCGGCGAGTGTATCGAGCTGGTAATTGATCGATAGGATCCTTTCCAAGAGCATTACGTGGTGGAGAACGGTAAAGGAGAAAATTACTCGTGTGTTTGTATGTGTGTGTGTGTGTATGTTTAGCGGGCCCGCCCTTTCACCCCACCCCATAGAAGCGGCATTATGTACGCATTATATTTCGAAAATGAAAAATTTATTTGGCGAAATCCGCAACATGCACATTTCGAAAGATTCGCGCGCTTTCACTCCGGACGACGTCATATATAATTAATGTTAATGGAATCGGCGATATAAATGTCTGCCTGTGAATGTCGTAGCCACGTGTGTACGAGAGAATGGCTTCGATCTCGTAAGTGTACGTGTTACTAATTTTTATGTAATATTTTC